TATCCAAGCGACCACGAGTCGGCAAAGGCTCCGAACAACCTTACAAAGGCAAAGGGAAAGGATACCAACAGAAATGGTCTCCGCCTGGACAAGGACGTCGATACCGACAACCCTGGACTGCTACGACAACCCAGTGGCGCCCCTGGCAACCGACGACACAACCATGGAGCACACCCTCTTTTCCGACCTGGCCGACCACACCGATGCCGTCCTGGACTCCATCGACACCATCGACCTTCACTACACCGACACTTGCCCCGACGATTCCCTTCAACCCGGCTCCACAAGTCTCACAACGACCCCGTTGGAACGCGAAGGGCGAGAAGGGCACGAAAGGCGCCGGTAAGAAAGGCATGTCCGGTAAATCCGGCAAGAAATAGGGACAGCACGGCCCAGAGTCCCTAGACTCTGGAGCCGACCATCGAATGACAGACCCACACGACCGGATTTGCACACTATGCCACGAGCTGGTAGGCGCCTTGCCGGTAGTTCACCTGTCCTTCTTCGATGGTATCGGGATCGCCTCCGAGGCACTCCGACGCATCAACGAGAACGTCATCATCACCCTTGCGTGGGAGATCGACTCCGATTGTGCAAGCTTCACATCGAAACTATTCGAATCTGTACACATGGGGGACGTCGGACAGTTTGACCTCGAAACTGTCGTACAACACATTGAGAATGCGACGAACAACAGACAGTACATCATGGTGATCACGGCAGGTCCTCCGTGCCCGGATTTCTCCGGTCTGCGAAGTCAACCCAAAGGATCCGACGGCACATCAGGTTGGCTTTTCAAACACATGGTCGGCATCGAACATCAAATCCGAAAACGTTTCACGGGCGTCCCGATCGAGACGATCTTCGAGAACGTGGTGCCCCATCCTGATGTCCGCGACAATGTCGTGGAACTCACATCTCCGATGAGCATGGACCCGATCGTCATCGACGCCGCTGACTCCGGTGTTATGCACCGCAAGAGGCTGTGGTGGACATCGATTCCCTGGAACACCGTCGAAGAGAGACTGCCTCGGCTCACACCCTGGTCACTCGACTGGCGACTAGATGGAGAATGGCATCGACTACACAACCCGATTGGCCCCGACCTACAACCCCAGATTTCCGCCCGGGGATACTCCCTGCCACCGTGTCTCCACAACGACAAGAAACTGTTTCACTGTTTGACTACACCATCTACGTCGACATTCGGACGAGAACCCCCTCGACCACTTCGAGACCGCTCAACATCGCAAGATGCATGGAACCGATGGGAACAAGACAACCGACGATACCCAGTATGGCAGTACGAAGACCAATTTCTCATCACCTTGTCGGACGGGTCATGGACTACGGCTCCATCGTCTCTACGCGAACAACTACAAGGCTTACCGCTGGACTACACGGCGACACTCGGAAATGGCGACGAGACAAAACGTTGCACGGCTTTGGGCAACGCTTGGCACCTACCTACGGCGATTTGGATCATCTTCCTGCTCCTGCTGGGGACAGTTGATGCATCCATACCCGATACACCTCGAGTTTCCCCATTACAACAGATCACTTCCTTTTGGTTGCACCATAAGGTACCATTTGGCCCACCACTCCGAACCCCGAATCGTGACTACATGCCACAATTCTCCTGGACCGATCATCTCGACTGGGCATTTCACAGGGATACACACTTATCACCGAAAACACTCGACCCTACGCTCGAGTGGTGCCTACAACATCGACATGCGTTCCACCCACTCATGGATTTCCAGAAGGCCGTCATCGCCGACATTCAAGAGCTCGTCGACGACATGGAGGAACACACGATGGCATGGTTCGACTCCCTTCCAGAACACGTACAACGAGCATATCGCCATAAAAACTCGGTCACACAGATACCTGTGCTTGTTCACCTTCTCCGAATGATACAATATCCACAAACCGAGTTGATCTACCGCGAGCTCTCCGAAGGTTTTCCTCTTATGGGGAAGTTGACTCCGGGAATTAATTGACATGTGCGACAAGACCAGAAGTACCTCGAACCCACTCCCATCGACGAGTTCCGCGAGAATAACCGACAGTACATCAAAGAGAAGATCGATAAGAACTCCGTTGACGATCACTGGGAACTCATGCTGGACGAGATCTTGGCAGAAGTCGACCTGGGCCGGATGAATGGCCCGTTTGAGGCGCCGGATTGGTGGCCTCGAACAGCGACCGTCCCACCTAAAGGACGACACAGAAACTTGTTACCACTGCCACACTCCGACCCATACATTGCCATGGCTTTCAGCATCGAACAGACGGGTAGCGACGGCAACAACAAGGTTCGAAGAGGCGAAGATTGGCGACGAAGTGGACACAATGCGACATGCACGATGCACGACCAACCATACCATCACACGCCCGATCACTTCATCTCCCTGGGACTTGCGACGATTCGAGATGATCAACTTAAGCCCCTTTCGGTCTGGGGACATGACCACGATGGAGCTTACCGACAACTCCCACTACGAGATCCTCGTGAAGCATATGTGATGCTACTCACACCGGACGGCCCGACGCTGTGGAGCCACAACGTCCTACTCTTTGGTTCGGCAGCCAGTGTATGGTCGTACAATCGATTCGGCGACATCCTGGTCGCGTGCAGTCGCACTATGATTCTGTCCCCAGCGATGCACTACGTCGACGACTACGGATCCATGGAAGACTCCGACTTGGCCAAGGGCAGCTTCGAATCCTTCGAAGAGTACAACGGGTGTCTACAAATCTCGATGAAACCCAGTAAAAGACAACCACCTCAAACCGCACATCGGATCCAGGGCGTCATCATCTCTTCCGACAACGAGCAGAAAGAACTTTGTTGCTTCCTGTTCGGAAGACCTACATCGATCTGTAAGATCGATGACTGCGATCTGTAAGATCGAAGCGCAGACATAACGCCACCGAAGCGGAAGCAGTTGGAAAACAGCTTCGCATCAGCCAGGGATTCATGGCTCCCGTGTGAGATTTTCGTTGTCGTGTAGCACACACTTGTTTGTGCGAAGTGACAACTCATTATCTCACTTGATCACCGAATCGGTCAGGGGATAGACTCACCGATTCAATGCGAATGATTGTACACTCCGTGGCCATTTTGGCGAAAAGCTGTTCCAGCTTGAGAAATTTTGTTTCACCCACCCGTCCCGACCCTCTTTATACTACGATGTATATTTTCCTCTGCTTCCTGTCTGCGAGCACCGTCTGGGAACCAGTCGGTCCTCCCAGCAGAAAGAACTTTGTTGCTTCCTGTTCGGAAGACCTACATCGATCTGTAAGATCGATGACGGCGATCTGTAAGATCGAAGCGCAGACATAACGCCACCGAAGCGGAAGCAGTTGGAAAACAGCTTCGCATCAGCCAGGGATTCATGGCTCCCGTGTGAGATTTTCGTTGTCAAAGGGTGGTCTTTGGACTAGCTTTGTGTTTATGGCAGGTGGCAAAGTCAGAAAACAGGCCGAATGTATTTGGACGACTCCCTCGCTTTGCTCACCCAGCTTCGAGTTCCAAGAACCCAAGCTTCTATTCTTCCGTGGTGGAATCAGTTCCAGCTTTCGGCGCAGGAGTCTCGGCTTGAGCATGCCGTTATCCGGCAGACGGGGGAAGGTGGAAAACGGCGGCGGAAGTGAACATCTTTTCAGTGTCGATTTCGTTGAGAGAATCATTTTTGCAGTTTCAGCCTTCTCGCCCAGTGGGCTTTTTTGTATCATGATGCTCTCACCGAATCGATGCTATCACAAACTGCCTGCCCCTTGGAAAATCAGCTTAGGTGGGCATGTGAGGCATGAGTGCCCTTGAACCCTTAACAACAGCGCAAGCGATCACAACCACCAACCAGAACAGCAACACCAAAACCAACACCAACAGCACCAGCACCTGCAATTGCAACTGCAGCATGCGTTTCACTGTTGCCAGGCTCAACATTAGTCCCGACAAGCTTGCAACTAAATAGATCTAAGCCGTCAGCCGTAAAGATGCAGAACCCAAGCCCGTATCTTGGTTGGCAAACTCCACACCCCCAAGGGAGAGGTTGGTTGGCAAATCCTAATCATCTGCATAAGGAAACCGAACCCCTAAAAGGAGATGTTGCTTCGCAAACCCCAAACCATGCAGGAAACTGTTGGTTGGCAAATCCTAGACCCGAACAGATGCTGTTGGTTGCCCGACCAGTAACCAGATGTTTTTTGGAGAAATGGGGTTCCGGCAGTTTCTGTTGGGGCTTGCGGTCTGCCCATCAACATCTACGGAGTCCCAACATCTTCCTTTGGCGCATGGACTCCAAAGTTTGGGATCTCCTCGTGGAGGGTTGGGGTCCGCCAACCAAAATCTCCGTGTGGGTTTTATGGCCTGCCGACCGGCAGCTTCTGTTAGGGTTTGTAGTTTGTGGGCCACCAAAATTTTCTCTCAGGTTTAGGGGTTCCCAAACGACATTTTTTTTCAAGGCATTAATTTTGGGCTCGCCAACCTGAGGTTAAGGTCTTCTTTCGGGCTAAGCGGCTAAGGGTTGTTTTCGAGACTTGGGGTTTGCAAACCCTAAATCCTAGAGCCAGGCCGAAGGCTCTGTTCGCTTGGAGAGCCCAAGACCCGCAAAGGAGACGTTGGTTGGCAAACCCCGAACCCTGAAACGAGCCCAAACCCCAAACGAGGTATTGTTGTGTACGAGGGCGTGGGCGGGACACCTGTTCCGAGCCTACTAGCTGCTGCTGCTGCTGCTGCTGCTGCTGCTGCTACTGCTACTGCTGCCACTACGACTCCGACTGTGACGACGACGGCGAAGACTTTTACTGCTGCTGCTGCTAGTATTGCAGCTGCTACTAATAGTACTACCGCTGCTGCTACTACTACTACTACTGCTGCTGATGCTACTGCCCATCTGACATGACAGGGGTTATCAGAGCACAGACTCCGCACATTTGAGGTGCTCTGCGTCGCCCTGTGGGTTGCAAGTCTGTATGGTCTTTACTTGACCATGAGTGCCTCTGATGTGGAGAATTGGCGTTCTTTTTGCTCTTATGCTGGGTTTGCTTGCTAAGCGGCTTCGTTCTGGCTCCATTGTGAGAAGCAGCTGAGTTTATGCGTGGGAGAATGGGGACACAAGACGCCTGTACCATGGTCAGCTTCTAAGCTTCCCGCTTGTAGCAAATTACATGGAGCCCTGGCTTCCGCGCACAAGGCCTGAACTGGGAAAATCAGCTCTGCGGTGTCGACGCCGAAGTTAGCGCTTGCATCCCAGAAGTCGCCTGTGGGCAGTCGAGGAGGAACATGTGGACACTGCAGGCCAAGCCGTACCTGTATTGGTGCACGAAGCCCAGCGACACTGCGCTAAGCCAGGCGGCTAAAGAAGGGAGCTGTTCGGGCAGAAAAGCCGACACATGGTTTTTCCTGGTGCTTGACCAGGGTGATCTGTCGGCAGCAAACCTGCCGAGCTCGATTACAGATGCGTCGCTTCACTGAATCGGGCCTATCGGAACTCTGTGTGACATTGATGTCATACCGAGGGCTGGTCATCTTATACCCTTGGCCAACGCCATTCTGAGCCCTAGCGAGACGATGGATTTGCTGCATCCGTCCCGTGGCATGTATCAAGCTCAAGCTTCGTTTTGATCTTTTCCCCCAGGCAAGTCCGATCAGCACTTAGGAGGGTCAAGGCGAGCATGTGCCCCAAAACAAGCTGTGTTGCCAAGCTGGTTCGATGCGGTTGCAGAGCTCTGTGGAATCTAAGGATTTGTCTCGCATCTTGCCCACAGGACCGCAGCACGTTCCATCCTTGTCTGCAGTCGCCAAGCTGAAGTAGTCGCCTTGACTTTTCTCGGGTCTCGATGCAGAACTTCCCGCCGTCCAAAGATCTCAGGAACGTGGATACAGAGCAGCAGATCCCGAGGAACTTCGACGGACCCTTGGAAGCGAAGAGCTGAAAGTGAACGGGAACGGGGGGGCCTTCTTTGGTGTCGGTCATCACGTGCAATTTTTCGGATATGCATGGGCTCTAAAGCTTGCTGCTTGCTGAGGTAGCTTTTGGGTGAACAACACCTACATCTCCCACCTTGATGCTCGATAGCATTTGCAAGGCTCGTCTTTTTTTCTTCTGGGTTGAGGAGCGGAACAGGGCGAGAGGGCTTTTGCAGTAGCTGCGTACCCTGCGGGACGATTGTGCACGCATCCACATAGTCACTTATTACAAGCAGATCGGCGCGCTTTGCAAGCTTTCTAGGTTGTCTGATGTTGGATGACAGAGAAGCAACACATCGCGGGCCAGGATCCGGTCGAACTGAGCGGCCCAACATATCTCACCGTTAGACCCGCACGAGCACCTGCCCAGGGGGGGGAAAGGGGAACAGGTGTGACCAGAATCCATACGATTGGGTGCTGCTGCATTTCAAGGCAGGACCAGGATCTGCGGCATTGTGCACCTAAGGTTCAGGACATAGAGACAACGCTGTTTGCAAAGCGCTTCTGCTTGCCGAAGGAGCCTGTGAATCTGTTTCTCGTTCTGCTTCATGCCAGATGCCGGGTGCCCACGAGTGCCCCCGAGTGCCAGCGGGCTAGGAGAACTTTCTGGTCGAGTGCCTCGGCGAGTTGCCGTGTCGTGCTGGAGCTCCGGCTCAGAAGAAACTCCCCTCGCATCGAAACATGTCGGTCCGTTGCGCCCTTTACAGTGCCCCTCCGCTTTCTTGGAGCTTGGAGCATCCTGATATGGGCCTTTATATGGGTAGGGATCCCAAGACTTGGAAGCGCCAGGCAGCTCAACGAGACGCTGAGTGGCTCGATGAATGCATTGATGTACAAGACGCAGGAAATCGTGAGTGCTCGCCGCGTCTACATCCTGGTAGGAGCGACTTCACCAATAAGGCATTTTCAGAGGCTTTGGACGACTTCTTGTTAGTGCAGGGCTTCGCGGTGTTGCCGTGACCAGAGTAGAGTCCAGTTTCGGGGCTCTTGTGTTCGGTTGCAGACTTGGATTTGATGCGAGTGGGTGGCCCGGGTGGCACAGCACAAACATGTTGCCAGTCCTTCACACCTCCAGGAGGATTGGCTGTTCCGCGGCTGCACCTGCAATTCAGGATCATCTGAGTGTTGCTGATTCACTTGGGGGGCATCTGAGATCTTGATGTGCTACTTGTACCTCTTTGCCATTGATCTCCTTGCAGCGCCCGCTTCGACCTCAGCTGCAGCGTGCGTCACATGCTTCGCAATTGCAGTGTGCTCAGATCATCTACGGCATGCTGCTCATCGCCACAGCTGGGTCTTTCTTGACGTCGCTGTACTTCTTTTACGCAGCCCTGCGCATCGAAATAGGCAGGGCCCCGGCCACATCTTGCCACGAACATGCCAACCAGAGAGACAATGCGGGCCAGCATTTGTGGCATCGTCTAGGGCTGTAGGTCTTGTAGGGCTTCAGGCCTTTGTAATGTTTGGGGTCTTATCGCTTGGAGCGTAAGGGGTTTGAGGAATACGGGTTGCAGGGCTTGGGTTTTGAGGGCTTTCTTTGCGGCTGTCTGGCGTTAGGGTTTAGGGTTTAGGGTCTGGGGTGTTTGGCATGAGAAGCTAGTTTCGGGATGTGTCGAAGACACTGCTAGAAAATCTAAATGACGACGACGACACGCGTATCACGACAGCAATCTCTTTCGGGGCGAACGGTTTGGGTCAATCGAGACTGGAGGGGGCCTTAGCTCCTGATGCACCAAAAGTCTAAGCGTCAGCCTTCCTACCCAGACCGCAGACTTCTTTTCCTATCGGTGACAAATACAAGCATTGACGAGTGGGTGGGAGGGCAAACGAAAGTTACAGAGTTGTTCTTGTTTCTAGCGTTGAGGAACGAGCTTCACCATGCCTCGTTCAGCGCAAAGGTTTCTTCGCGGCAGCATTCGCTTACCAGCATCTGCTCACATTTGCAATGCACGGCTTCCATTTCCCTAAGGAGCCACTCCTCCAAAGATCACAACAAGATCAAAGACTTCGCAACCCCCTAAGCTGTAGCACTGTACTGTGGCTGTTGCAGCGGATGGTTCAACGAAGTGTGGAGAGCTCCGTTCGCTGTTGCTTTCTGAAGTCTTTGGTGGAATCGTCGAGGCAGCTTAGAGCTTTCAAAATGACACTTCTTGTCAAGCTGCCAGGGAAGGCCCTGTCGGTGAACGAGGAGGTGGGGCACGCTTGGCTGATGGTGTATGGCAGCATCCATGGCGGTCATGGTCCAACCAGGGTTCAACATTTCCTTGCTCCCTAAGGCTCTGCCTCTGGTAGAAAGCACAAGTGCCCTGTCTGATTGAGTCCTGGTGTCTTGTAGCAGTATGAGAGACTGAGCAGTGGTGTCTTCTCATAGAGGCTGGGTCATGAGTTGTGAAGTCTTGTTGGGTTGGGACACGCTGGGGAAATGCTGGATTTCCACCGAGATGATCGCAATTGGGACCTGGTCGTTGGCGCAGTATGTCTTCTTATCGGCATCGCGACTCTTGGCAGAGAGATGCACGAATGCTAGCGGCTGGCAAGCACACATCCGTAGTTCCTGATTGGCTTCGCCAGCAGAAGCTGAGGGCCACTTGCTTCTGGTGTGTCCTAACAGCAACATGACTCCAGAACAGGACCAATCGGAGGCCGTTGGGTACCATTCCCAAGGCTGCAAAAAGAACTCCATCACCTTCGTTATTGCTGCAGTCAAAGCGACTATTCGGATACTTTATGACGTCTGGCACCAAGCAATCGAGTTTCTGTGGGCACAGAGAAGAGGTGACTCGGGACTGGTAAAAGGACTCGACGATTTTGTTTGCTATGTCTTGACATGCGACTTTAATGCATCGCGCGGCCATTTTGGCTTAAGTGCTGTTTTTCTGTTGTGTTCTGGTGCTGTGGTTGATTGCTGGGTCTGTTTCTGATCATGTCGGTGGACCCACTTCGAGTTTTGGTCCGTCGCCTGCGTGCTGCTGCGCGGGCTGATGACGGGCAACTTTCAGCTGCACTTGCAGCCTTGCCGTCGGCTGAAGCCCTGAGGTTGTACTACTTCTGCCGGGACAACGTGCAGCTGTCCCACCTGGAACACGAGACTGAGGGATCCAGCGAGTACGACCTGCCTCCGTGCCCTGCTGCTGGAGTTCTGTCTGTGCAATCTCAGGACATTCACACCGATCTCCTTGGGCTTCAGCCTGACCTTCTTGATGTTGGTCCTGGTGCCGGGGTGGCCTCTGACCTGCCTACTCCTGCTGCTGCTAGCCCTGAGGCTGCCAATGTTGCACCTGCTGGTGCCGCTCCTGAGGTTGTGTCCGACGCTGGCGATGGTTCGGGCAATGGTGACCAAGGTGCTGGCACTGTGGCTGACGACGGTGGCCCTGTTGCTGTGGCGCAGTCTGGAGATGCTTCTTCCGCATCCTCACCTGAGTTGATTCCTGCGACGCCTGAGGATGGTGGCTGGCTCTGCCGACTGTGCCGCTGATGCGGAAGCTGAGGTTGTTTCGTCTGGGTCCAGCAGTCCTGCTGGAGATGCTGTCCCGTGGGACTGGCCTGCTACTTCGGTCCTGGACCTCAATACCATGGACGGCTTGGATGGCAGCACGGAGCCCACTGCACCTGACGCTTCTGTGGCTCCTGAGGACTCCTCTGTGGTCGACCCCCCGCTGGCCTCTGACGGTGTGGCTGGGCCGCCTGGGTTGGGCGCTGGCGCCCCGGAGTTTCGCACGCCGACTGTGGCGACGCCTCCTCCGTCCTTTCCCTCGGCAACGGCCTCGGCTGCGTCTGCTCCTGATCCTTGGGCGGGGTATCAGGGTCTCACTGTGAATGCTGTTCCTGCACCTGCTGGTTCTGCTGATCCTCAGTTTGCGAGACTTCGCATGTCTGGGACGGCGAACTGCCCGTATGTTTTGGCCTCCGACGTGCGTGCGGGAAAACCGCTCAATCTGTCGCTGTCCTTTCCATTGCGGCAGCCTCTCCGTGATCTGCCTGCTGATCTGCAGCGTCACGGGCATGCTTTGACAGGCTGGTGCAGTACAGCATGCTGGGGAGACTGCGGCCACGCTTGCAGTCGCCCTGTCTCAGATTCGGCGCGTCGCCCTCACAGGCGCCACTTTTGCGACCGCTGTCGAGACCTCTGATAGTCTGAGCTTTTGCTGGTTTTTGAAAAAACATGGGCCGGCGCGCTCGGGGTCGACTTGTGTCCGACTGCTGCCTGGGCACTGGCCCACTGACTGTTCCTCTGCAGCTGATCTGGCTCTGTGCCTTTGTGGCTGGGGGGGTCCTGCTGCCGGGGGCCTTGAGGCCGGGGGCAGATGATACTTTTCTTTTTCGAGGGAGCCTTTGCCCTCCTGTTCAGGTCGTGGCTCTGCGGGCTTGGGCCCTGGCGGTTGCTTCGTTTGCTTGACCCATGGTCTTGTGACCATTAGGCCTGTGTGGGCTCTGGCTCCTTCGTGGAGTCTCTCGCCTTCGAGGTGGGCTGTGCACTTGTGTGCGGAGGTCATCGGCTGCTTGTGCAGGTCTTCGGGCTTTTGCCTGCACCTGCTTTGGGTCGCGGCCTTGGGCTTGAGCCTCCTTCTGCCTGGCTTTCCGCCCTGGTCAGGTCTTTTTTTTTTCCTGTACCAGGCCGGGCTTGGGCCGGTCCCTGGTTTTCTGTGTGACATCTGCTGGTGCAGGCTGTCTGGTCACTGTGGGCTTCGCTGCCCGAGGCCGGCTGCTTTCGAATGCTCTTGCCTGACTTGTGTCTTGGCAGGTTGCTGGTGCTGGTGCTGCCTGTCTGAGCCTGCCTCTGATCCGGCTGCTCCGCCTGTTCTGCGATGGCGAGCGTGGCAGATAGTGCGGTGACGTTCGCTAGCAAAGCTCGGCAATACGGACTGAGTCAGGATGTGCTTGACAGTCTGAGTGCCGCTGGCATTACTACGTACTCTGCCTTGCTTTTCGCAGTGGCGAGTGCGCCTGGGGCTGTTGACGAGGCCAGGCTTAAAGCGGCCAAGGAGAAGCACCTGGGTGCTGGGGCCTCTAGAGGGAGTGGTCGCCGCCTTTTCGCGACTCCTCTTTGAAGCCGGGACCTTCGTGGTCGCCGAGCTTAGGAGTTCAGTGGCAGGCGAAGACGATGGCTCCAAGAAATTGACTTCTCAGGAACGGGCCAGTCGCATGGATGCATTGCGTGCCAAACTAGGAGCGTGGCCTATCGCTGGCTCCTTCGAGCCGAGCCACGTTCTTATTGATGTCGCCTTCGGGATGGTCGCTGACAGCTCTGTGCGGTACTTGCCGCCCAGCAAGTGCAGTTCCCGTGAGCAGGAAATTCTTGAACGGCGTGACGACACGTTGTTTCGCCTTGAGGCCACTGCCCTGAAAGCTGCCAAGAAGCCTGTTTTGCCTAAGGTTGACCTTGGCAATGAACTCAGGTTGTATCAGGCACTGAGCCGGCGAGGTGTTGCATTGGAGGTCGCTGGAGTCTGTTCCTTTGCTGTGCACGAGAACTTTGTGCGTGGTCTGCTTGATCACCTTCAGCGCATGCCCCCGCCGGGGTATTCGGCTCCTGGCATTGATGCCGTGTTGGCAGCCGATCGTGCTGTCTGGCAACAGGTTGCTGCTCAGGTTCCTTGCTTGCCTGCTGTGGACATTGCTGCTAAGGTCGATGCTGCCTTGCTTGCTGCCGCTGGGGCTCCTGCTGTGGCTTTTCATGTCATGCCGCGTGAAAAGAAGCGGGCACTTGATGATCCCACCAAGCCTCCGGGCAAGACGGGCAAGGGTGATGGCAAGGACAACCGTCCTGGCAAAGGCAAGGAAAAAGGCGGCCGGGGAAAGGGGGGCAAGACCCCCGGTGGTGGCAAGCCCGGCTCTCCTGCCAAACAGACTGCTGTACCGGCTGCCCTCAAAGGTTTGGACCCTAACAAAGATGGCACGCCTTTGTGCTTTGATCGCAACTTGGCTCACGGCTGCAAACGTGAGACTTGGCAGACTCCGGCCGGGTTGCAGTGTGAGAAGGGTTTGCACTTGTGCATGAAGTGCGGCAGCCCTGACCATGGTGCGCACGCATGCAGCAACTGATCTGCTGACTCTGAGGTTGGGGCGTCTGGTGTCGCCGAGGTTGCTTCTTCCTCTGTGGATTGTCTCCTGGAGGCGCTGCCCTCTGGCACTGTTCCTGGGACTCCTGTGCCCTTGCCTCAGAGCTTTGTGCCCACCTCTGCCGTGACTGTTGTGGCTGCGCCGGCTGTGCCTGCTGTTGGTGCTGTCTCTGTCACGGCACATGCTGATACAATTTCTCCGACATACATTTCTCCTGTTCCTTTGCCGGCTGATGATGTGCCGCCTCCTGCCGAGGTGTGCCCACCTGATGTGCCCAGTTTTTCAAATCTGAGGGATTTTTCTTCTTTTCTTCCCGGGCCTTCTGCCGCCAGCCATCCTGATGTTGGCACGGCTCGTGCCTGTGTTGCTGTGGAGATCTTTGCTGGATCCTGCAGGCTCAGCAAGTGCCTGAAGGCATCAGGCTTTGAGACCGTCGCCGTTGATGTGAAGGATGCTGCCGGCCACAAAGTGCTTAAGCTTGATTTGCTCTCCGCTGCAGGTCTGGCTGTGTTGTGGGAGATTCTGTGCTCAGGTCAGGTGTTGTATGTGCACATGGCGCCTCCCTGCAGCACTGCTTCTGCTGCTCGCTTCATCCCAGGTGGGCCCCGGCCTTTGCGTGATGCTCGGCATCCTGATGGCCTCAGTGGTTTGAGCTTTTCCCAGCGTTTTCAGGTCCACAACGCAAACAGGCTTTATGCACTGTGCAGGGATGTTGCGCTTTTTTGTCAGAGTCGTAACATTGGATGGAGCATTGAGAATCCATCTTCGAGTCTGTTCTGGCTCACCTCTCCGATTGCGGCGCTTTGCAAGCAGCTTGGCAGTTCTCTGCATACTGTAGTTTTTGACCATTGCTGTTGGGGAGGCGACAGGCCAAAGCGCACTGCTCTTTGGAGCAATTTGCCCTGCCTCTGCTCGCTTGAGTCTCTGTGCTCCCCTGCCTTGGGGCATGTGCACAAACCCTGGGGCAGGCTGCCCGACGGTTCCTGGAGCACTAAGGTCGAGGCGGCTTACCCTGTGTTGCTGTGCCGTTTCTGGGCACACCTGCTCAAGGGCCACTGGGCATCTGTGCTGAACGTTCGTCTTCAGCCCAAGGATGTGAACTGGTCTGGGCCTGCGCGTCTTTTTGAAACGCGCCGAGCCCTTGGGCTCTTTCCCAGAGGACGTCATCCTGGGGAACTCCGCAACCCTTTCAGCGACACTGTCCCGGTCAGGTTGCCTTTGAGTACTGCTTCTCATCTTCTGGTTCCTGGTTCTGATGCACACATCACTGGGGCCCCAAAGGGTTGCAAGGTTCTTTCCTGTGTTAAGGAGGCTTCTTCTTGGCTCGTGGAAGTTGGTGTTCCATGCGAGCCCGAGTCCTTCATGAAGTCGGCTGCCTCCTTCAGGCACCCTTCTGAATGTGATGCTGAGTTGCCTGCTGACCTGGAGGAGACGTTGTCAGCCGTTTCTCGCATGAGCTGTGCATAGCTTGCGCGTCGGCGGTGCCGTTTTTTGCACAGCATTCTTCAGAGGTCCCAGGAGTTGTCACAACGGGAGGCTGCACTGCACTCTGGTTTAGCTCCGCATGCTAAGGCTGTGCTGCAAGGCAAGCGCCTGCTGTTGTGGAAGAGTTGCTGTCTGGTCTTGGGCACGAGGACACAGGTTTGGTCCGTGACATTTGCTCTGGTTTCAAGCTAACAGGCTGGCTTACGGCCAGTGGCGCCATGGAGCCAAAGATGACTGCTCCCTCTGAGTCTGCTTCCAACTTGTGGCGGCGGCGCGCTGACCTCAACTCTAAGGCCTGGAGCCAGACTGGGCCCTCTGCTTCTGAGGAGCTTGACCGCTCCCTGTGGGAAGCCACCGTCAAGGACGCTTCTAGTGGTTGGGCCATGCTGTTACCGGCTTCTGCAGAGCCCCCTTCTGATGTGCTGCTGAGCCGCAGGTTTGCTGTTGTCCAAGGTGACAAGGTCAGGGGTGTTGACGACTTCAGCTTCAGTGGCCTGAACGACACATTGGGCACCTGTGAGAAGGTGACAACGATGTCCACTGCACACACTGTGTCCTTAGGCCTGCGTTTGCTGAGGATCGCTAAGGCCCGCGGCATGCGACTTCTCGGCCGTTGCTTTGACTTGAAGAGTGCGTATCGGCAGCTGCCGATCCACCTGGAGGATCTGCCGTATGCCGCTGTCACTGTGTGGTCCCCTGAAGCTAAGGCTGTCAGGGTTCTCCAGATGTTTGCGCTTCCCTTTGGTGCCGGTGGTAGTGTTCCCGGGTTTGTTAGGGTTTCGTTGGCACTGTGGCGCATTCTGTGCCGACTGGCCCTGGTGCCTGCAACACTGTTCTTTGACGATTACACCTGCATTGTGCTGGAATCTGATGCTGTCAACGCTGGCCTCTGTGCACATGCTGTTTCGCATCCTGGGTTGGAGGCTGGCGCTTGAGGGCGACAAGGCTATGCCCTTCTCTCAAGTTTTTCAGTCACTTGGTGTTGTTTTCCTGCTAACTCCTGGTGTGGACTGCAGCTTGTCAGTGTCCAACACCGAAAGCAGGAAGGCAGAGGTGGCTGCTTGGTGCCTTGAAAAGCTGAGGTCCGGGACTGCTTCTCCCAAGGAATGCGAGCAGTTTGCCAGTAGGGTTAGGTGGTTGTCTGGTCAGGTTTTTGGGCGCACCGCTGGTTCTGCCCTTCGTGCCCTCCTTGCGGCTGGCCACGCTGACAAGCCGCATACGGCCAGAGCTCTGTCCTTAGAACTGCGTTGGGCCATACGATGGATCCTGGAGCACATTCCCAAGGGTCAGGCCAAGGTGTGGTCGCTGGCTAGCCGCAGGAAGCTACACCTGTTTACTGATGGGGCTTTTGAGAACGGCAAAGCCTCAATTGGAGGCGTTCTCTGCGATGGCTGGTGCCAGCCCTTGCAGTGGTTTGGTTGTGACGTTCCACAGGTTGTTACTGCAGGCTGGTTGACTGACGGCTGCGAACATCCCATTATTCAGGCTGAGCTTCTGGCCGTTGCTGCCTCAGTCATGTGCTGGAGTACTGCTCTGCGTGACTCCAACACTTGCGCCTGGGTTGATAATGAGGTGGTTCGTTTTGGGGTCATCAATGGGTTTGTGAGACCTTCAAGTGCTATGTGCATTCTGGAGCCCATGTTGCGCCTGGAGGCTTCTCTTGGCATCCAGCTGTGGGTTTGCCGTGTTCCCTCCCACAGCAACCCTGCCGATGGGCCCAGTCGTGGCTTGTGCCCTGCCTTCCTGTCCAAGGCCAAGGAGGTTAAATTGGACGTGGGGGCTCTGGTCTCCTTGGCCAGCGGCTGTTAAAGTTTTTGGGGACTGTGAAGCCGCTGGCCTGCTTCTGTCAGCTGCCTCTGTCGGCACCGTGCCTCTGCCGCTGTACTGCTGTGCACTGTGCGGTATGCATCTGTCACCGCCTGAGTTTTGTGACAGTTCTGCGGCTGTCGATCTGCAGCTGTCGGTCTGGTTGGACCACACTGGCTTGTGCCGCCCCACGTCTGTAAAAAGGTGTGTGACAACTGCATGCCTGCATGCTGTGTTCTTTAGTAGAGCGCGTGCATTAAGTTTGCTATGTCTTGACATGCGACTTTAATGCATCGCGCGGCCATTTTGGCTTAAGTGCTGTTTTTCTGTTGCCCGCCCTCCCATCCCTATGAGACAGGATACTGATCCGTTTTGGGCCCATGGCATGGGCTTCGGTCCTGTGCGGGCGAGGTCTTCTCGCCTCAGCCTGCCCTGGGAGTCTGGCACCTTCTCTTTTCTGAGCCCACAGAGTTCTGCTTTGAGCCGGTCTCTTGAGGAACTTCTTCGAGCTCCTTTGCCTGTGCCTGTGCCGAAGCAGTCGGCTACTGTTACCACTAGGCTGCCTGCCAGTTCCTCGGTAACTTCGTTGCAGACGTCGTTCCGTGCACCTGGCCATTCCAAAGGTTTTGCTTGGAGTTCGCAGGAGGAACGCACTAAGCGTGTGCAGGCACTGTGTAAATGGTCTAACCTGCTGAAGTTGGCGCCTGAGCTTTTCTGTCTGGCGACTGTGGAGAGGCTGCCTACTGAAGGTGACGAGTCTGTGGTGGAACACCTTGACGTTCTGTTCAGCAAGAAGAGCACTAACACTCTGTTAACTCGGGCGTCTCCTTTGACCAGGTTTGTTTTGTGGAGGCGACGCACATGTCCCGAGGATGTGACATCCGAGAGCGTTGTCTGGCTGCACTGTCGCTGGCTTCAAGGTGTTGCTGCTGCTTCCAGTATCGACTCCTTCGTGTGCAGTCTGAACTTTGTGCACGGCACTTTGGGACTGCGTGTTTCTGTGCAAGAGCTGCTTTCTGCTCGTGTGCGTGGCCTTGCCCACGCACATCTGCGCACTAAGGAAGAAGTGAACCAGGCCCCTGCTCTGACTGTCGCTCAACTCAGGTGGTTGGAGTACTACGCTGCTACTGCCGACGACCTCTACGAGAGACTGGTGGCTTCAACTCTGTGTTTCATGGTGTTTGCTCGGGCGAGGCGCAGTGATCTTGCGCGAGCCACCCACATTGAGTTTGACCTTTGCCCGGATGGTCTGGATGGCTTCGTCGAGTGCAGGGTCAAGAACCCCAAGCAAGCTAGAGCTTCCAGCAGGAGAAACCTGTTCATGCCGCTGACTGCGCTTTTCTGTGGCCTGTCTGAGGTTCCCTGGGGTGCCACTTTCCTTGCTGTTCGCGAGGCCAACCGCTTGGAGGCCCACGGCGCACTGGACCACCCTCTGCTTCCTGGGCTCACTGCTGCTGGTTTGTGGCTGCAGGAGTGTGTCAGCAGCAGTCAACTTACGCAGTGGCTTCGCTGCATCTTGGCGAAGGCCCCTGATGCTGACCTGGCGGCCCTTGCTGCGGTGCGCAGCCACAGCTGCAAGGCAACACTGTTGAGCTGGTGTTCCAAGGCTGGTTTGTCTGACAAAACCCTGGCTTTTCTGGGCTACCACAGCCACGGCGTCAACATGGCGAATGTTGGGTACCGCAGAGACGCACTTGCTGGTCCGCTGCGTGAGCTGTGGCAGGTTGTGTCAGCGGTGAAGTCGGGCAAGTTCGCTCCAGATGTCACTCGCAGTGGCCGTTGGCAGGAACCGGGCAGTCCTGCGAGCTCGGCTTCCGCTTCGCTGGTCTCTTCGCCGCCTGGCAGTGCTGAGCGCAAGGCTGCTGCGGCTGCCTCTTCTGCCGCTGCTGCTGCTGCTGCTACCAGTAGCTCTAGTGGCTCCTCCGAAGCCTCCTGTGACAGTGATGATTGCGCTGACCAGCTGGTGGCGGCCGCGCCCCACTTTGTTGAGAACATCCTTGGACTTGGTGGGTATGCTGTTGCTGGCAACAAGAAGAACAAGCTTCTGCACATCGTGAAGCAGAAGACGGGGCGTCTCCTCTGTGGTCGCCTTCTGTCTGACTCCTTCGAGGTTGCTTCCGCTACTGACGCGGGTGACAGTCGTTTCTGCCGCACCTGTAAGACCTGTGCGCTTGCCTGCGTTTAGTGCGGGGACTGTGAAGCCGCTGGCCTGCTTCTGTCAGCTGCCTCTGTCGGCACCGTGCCTCTGCCGCTGTACTGCTGTGCACTGTGCGGTATGCATCTGTCACCGCCTGAGTTTTGTGACAGTTCTGCGGCTGTCGATCTGCAGCTGTCGGTCTGGTTGGACCACACTGGCTTGTGCCGCCCCACGTCTGTAAAAAGGTGTGTGACAACTGCATGCCTGCATGCTGTGTTCTTTAGTAGAGCGCGTGCATTAAGCAGCATCCTTGAAAGTGGTGATCCATGTGTTACTACAAGGCTGTTCCGTCGGTTGTGTGAGGTTCCTCAGCTTATACTGCTGCCTGCGGCCGGTGCTGTCGTTCGTGGTGTTATCTTCATCATCTTCTTGTGACTTGGCTCTGCATTCGGTGCGGAGAGCTGCAGTGAAAGATGATTCAAGCATTCAGAATCTACGCGGTGAAGGTGGGGAGCCGCGCTGCTTGTCTCTGCTGGAGAAGTTGTGCCCCGGCTGCCAAAAGCGCAAAGCTCCGTAAATCGGCTGTCCTTGAGAAATGCTTTGCAGCCATTCAGTAGATTTCGCAGTCTCCGCGGTTGCAGAGGGGCAATGGTACACTTTGTTTTGAACCACAAGATGGTAATGCAGCTGCACAAGAGTTGACCTCGGCAGACGATGAGTGGATGCGGAGTCGACTTCAAAAGCACCATCTCTTTGATTTTGATTTGGCTTCCTGGCCACATCATTTCTTCATCGTGGAGAGAACTTCAAGATGCGCGAGGAGAACGGCGAGCCTGTGCAAATGGATGTTTTGCCGGGGTCCGAAATCAGTGTGCAGAAGATCCAAGGGGCGCATGGGCCCAGCTTCTGATTCTGTGGTATGGCAGTGCATTGCTGTCCAGCTAGCAGGGGAACGCCAGTGCCGAGGGTTTTACAAGAACGACTGCAGACGGGTGAAGGGACACCACAGTGCAGTCCGTGCATTTGATGTGAGCCAGGTCGGGTAGTGCTGAGGCGTTACTGCAACTTGACGTCTTGCGAGAAGTCGGTAATCTTCAACGTCTCGGAATATCTCCGATTTTGGACGTGGTGTTCACTCAGTACTGCTCCATGGCTTTGGAGTTTGAGAAGGGATCCGTGCAGCAGTGGAGGACCAGCCTGTCCGTTGAACTGCGGTGCCTCTTCCGTGATGCGCTCAATGCACCCACCTGCTGCGATGATGACATCCTGACGGAGTTCATTGTTGTGTACCGTGCGGCAGTGAACCAGGAGCAATGGCCCTTGGTTGATATTGTAGAACTTCCAGAGCGGACACGCGCCAAACAAAGGACTATCGACATCGACAGGATGGCTGACATGCGAATCGTCAAAAGGCGACAAGGAGAACATCAGAAACATAGCCAGTTTCTGTCGCGGATGACCGAACGGTTTGTCCTGGTCCCACACGCGAGTGCTTGCAGCGCTGTCCCAGCATCGAGGAATCGATCTGAATTGCCCCGGCAGCTGAGCGAAACCATCACATACAAACCGGCTCTGCCTCATGTAAACTTATGCAGTTATGCAGAAGTTACGCACTATCATATTCCAAAAGTGATCCGTGCGCCGGCTGCTGGCCTTTATGCCATCAAGATTGCAGCCTTCTGCGGCAAGGTGATCAAGAAGCCGCCAAAGTCCCACCTTCAAGAGACCCTATGCTGTTTGTACTGGGCAATGATTGTGCTACTTATTCACATTCCCTTGTGCATCTTCGATCTATCCTGATGCCCTTTGCCGACAAGATCGGCATCAGTGAGTCAGTGAGGATGGGAGGGGGCTGACGCGCCTTCGGACACTCATCTGGGGATCCACGTTCTTGGCGACCAGGATAGAGCTGCCGGACAAGGACTACCGAACGACAAAGTGCTCTCTTCAAGAGATTATCACCAAAGAGCTGGGGTTTTGGGAACCAGGTTGATTCTCCTTTGCAAGGAGAACCCTGGAATGCAGACCATTCGTCCTAACTGGAGGTGATTGCCGCCTTTAGCCGATACCTGCCTCGACCAAATTGGCATTCGACCGGTTCTGCAGGAAAAAGGTGGACATGCCGTTCGTCTTTTGATCTGGATGCCTCGTTCCGCGAGATGTGAAGATGTTCATGCTGCAATGTCCCGCCGGCAGACTCAACACATGCCAGGCGGTAGACTCGTGACCTTTGTGGCCACGTTAAGCTTATTCCAAAGCTCCACACATTGCCACTAGCTTTTGTTGAATGCTTCTGTGAAGTTTCTCGAAGCTGCCTCAGGAACAAGCGGATCTCACTCAGTACGTGCCCAAAGGCATCGCTCGAACATTCTCCCATACGCAAGATGAGACGCCTCTTGTTCGCACTGGTCTGGCGACCGCAGTAGTTCAATCCCGACCGCGTCATACCATTGGACAGCCTCCTGGTCAGAACGAATGATTCGGCAGCATATCCAAAGCGGGCTTATAAAGTTGTCGGCATCCGGAGGCTTTACATTGTCTACTACTGCTTTTCTGTGTTTTGGATGTGGGAGTCGCTCGGCTGCAGAACTGCACAGTTGTAGCTCAGTATGCGAGCGCTTGACTGTCTCGAGGGCCCTTTGTCTCGGGTCTGTTCAGGCTGCTGCTTGCCTTGGAGACCTTTGCCTGGATCTTACAGGGGTGAAGAGACATCGTGCAGAGAGGCATTCAGATTCAGACGTGGCCTTTCAGGTGGCTTCTTACACGGTGGTCATCTGGTACAACGCCCCGTTGGCAAATGGAAAGAAGCGGGTGCTTGGCCACTGAGTTCAGGCAGCAGTCTCTTCACGAGTGTCGCCCGAATGGAGGTGCCCTGCTTCCCTGTTGTACGAGCCTTCTTCGTGGGCTGCTTTACTCAACTTGATTGAAAGCTCATAAACGGCAGGAGCGTTGCTGGTGACGTGCTTTGCTTCTGGCCATGTTTCGGGTTCCAAGGGCTGACGTACCATCTCGGGAGTTTGCTCTTCGGAGCTGTTCCGCGCTCGGTGCTCGCTTTTGTGCCTCGCAGCCCTGGCTTGAGCCTCTCAGCGTCGATACTTCCCATCCACCCTTCCGTTCAGGTCATCCTAGCAATCTTCCGCGGTGTTTACTTCCTCGTGTCCTTGTTCCAATCGCAGGCCGGGGAGGGCCCGACAGCAAATTGCCCGAAGGGGGAAAGGAATAAAGTTGAAAGCATAAGCAAAGAGCAAATACTCAGAGCGGTGGGCCTGATGTGCACGAAGAACACCAAATTTTCCGAGATGTCTCCCTGTTCCAAAACCTTGATACGAGATGATGGTCGCTCCTGGACAATGTAAGCGACAATACAAAAGAGCGAGCTCACACAGACATCTCCGCTCTCATAACGAAGCTTGCCCTCCGCAGCAAGCTTGGCTTCGCAGCTTGATCACTTCCGGCAAGTGCTTTCGCCAGACGCTATGGCTCGTGCACTGATCTTCGTGATCTTGCCTTTCTTGGCCTTGGCTGGTCCAGATGCACTCCGAGGAACGAAAGACGCTATGGCGTGCTCGGGCGACGGGACTCCCCGGCAGTGTTTGGTAAGAAGCGAAATCCTAGTCTGGCCTCAGGTCTCTTTGCTCCGGCGTCCCTGCAAACCCTCCCAGCTCCCAGGAACCTGCCGACCATCCAGAACGGGAGCCCTCGTTGCTACGGTGGCGAGCTTTTGATGGAGACCTTCTCGCTCAAGCTCCTCAACTACGATGGCGCAACGGGCGTGGTGGACATGAAGGCGGAAGGACCTCAGGCTGGCCAGTGCGATGGCGCCGCATTCCAGAACCAGGACGCTTGCTAGCTGTGCCAGGGTGCCGGGGTTTTGGTTCTGTTCCGTTCGCTAGCTGGAAGGGTGAAAACCTCAGTAGCAAAAGCCGCAAAAAGAAGCTTCTGCCGTCGGCTCTTCGTGAAATCAACCGTCTTCCGTTAGTTGTAAAACCGACTGAGCACCTGGAACCAAGGATGAAATTTTGAGGAGAGCACTTGCTCATGCAGGGGCTCGTTTGTTGCTAGTCGTGCCCAAAAGGCCCCAAGCTCGAGAGCCCTGGAGTTGGCAGGCTAGACAAGTCTGAGCTTTTGGTACCTAAGCAGGTCCGTCAGACGCTGTTCCTTGAAACGCTTGACATTAGAGATTTGCACCGCTGCTTAGTGGGCGCTCACTCCTTGAAAGAGCTAATCAAAACAGACATCCGAAATGAAGCCTCCGCACAGAAATGAGCTTGAGGTGTTGTTCGCTTTTTGGCGCACCATGCTGCTGTATGTGTGAGACGTGGAAGAGTCAAGCGAGACACGACTTCCATGATCCCAAACTTTCCCAAATCTGCCTCACCCACGATGTCGCCAGGACAACGCGGTGACAATTGAGAACGAGGCTGATTGTGGCCTGGGCTCTGCGGAGTACAGCGTCAGGTATTGCCCGGATCAGGACAAGTTCATCGTCAGCATTTCGAAGCCCTGGACTGTGCAAGTGGCACTCTCCAGCCAGGAATGCCCCCCGCCAGCTGGCCCAGCTGGCGGTGAGGTCTAAGCTCAAATGCCAGGGCCTAGTGCGCTCCACCTCCAAGATGTCCAAGATGTCCAAGGGCCGATCCGAGTCTTTTGGACGGCACCGAACCAGATCGGTGCTCTGGCTGGCAATGACCAGTCTTGCACATCAATTCGAAAGATTAAGCTCTTGAAGAAGAATGCCAGAAAAAGGTCGTGAGACTGTGAACCCGCCAGTCAAGTTCAGTAGAAGTGATTCATGCATTGAGCAGAAGCTAGTCCATTAGCTAGAGCACCTTTACATGCGGTTCTGTATACTGTGACTCAGCACGGTGACGGTTGACATTGATTGTGTCGTGGAGCTGCCTGTGACATTCGGTACCGGCAGGTCCGTGGCAAGGGTGACGATGAAAACGTCACTTGACCAAGATTTCTATCGAGCAAACGAGCCACACTATGAAAAAACATGACGCCCAGGATGTTGCACGGACATCTGCCGCCTGCTGCTGCTGTTGCTACTTGGTTCTGTTCTAGATTCCAAAAGTGTCGATGCAGAGCCTGTCCTACACATTCCAAACCCGGAATTACAGCACATGGCCATGAAGAGACAAACGATGCAAGTCGGATTTCATTGCAGCTGGGCTGCGAGGTTTGCAGTGCGTGGAGCAGATCCTGCGTTACCTCAACAAAGGCCTTCCCCTTGCTTGGGAGACAGCACGTCACACAGCATCACAGCATGCTCGTGTCGACAGGAGCCTATGTACTGATTGCCGTGAACTCCGACAACTACTGCTCGGCTGCAGACAGGACAAGCCAGTGTTCGTCAACTCAGTGGGCTCAATCGTCACTGAAGACTTCACCTGCAAAGGGCCTTGCGTCTTATGGCCTCCAACATCTTTGAGCTCGGCTTGCTGCAGGGCGCCACGGTCTTGTTCCAGGTGCACTCCAGCCCAGCCCCAGCAAGCGGCTTTTTGAGACCTTGCAACAGGTACTTGGGAACGTGGTGATTCCCGGACTCGGGGGATACCTCACGTACCTCATCGCCACTTGCAAATCTTATGCGCCCGCTGTTGCTTCGGCTTCGGCCGACAAGAATTTGCCAGTTTCGCCGAGGTCCGGCATTTGGAGTGGTTCAATGATCCTGCTTCAGATCACTTCGTGGCACAGCCGGACTTGGTGGCAGCTTGCAGCTCAGTCCGCCTAACAGCTAACAGCCGCAGCTCACATGAAAAGCAGGCCAGTTCAAGCCGCAAGCCTGTCGTTGCGGAGCGCAGGAGAGTGCAGCGCAGCTTTCTGCTTTTTTCGGGACGAGCAGTGAGGTCGTGGGCGCCCTCATCTGCTTGGCGGTCTCGCTGGCCTTCATGTCCGTCTTTGACACCGCCCGGGAGCCTGAGATCTTGCTAAATATTTGCAACGGCCAGCGGCCGGAGCTCTCTGAGGTTTCTGATGCCATGATCTATGCGTACATCACAGACGAGGAATGGAGGCAGCAAACGCACATGTGCTCGGGAGATTGTAGCGGCACTTGCAACGTGGAGCTTGTCAGGCAAGAGAATCGTCTGCCTCCAAATCCGAACATCCCGCCGACACAGAGCTGAATCTACACTGCTGACCGGAAGTGCGTGTTCAGGTAATTCGTTATTTCGCAGGCGCTGCAACCAACTGACATGTGTGAAAGATGGCTGATCTGCAACGGTAACCTGAACGAGTTGCTTGCCGAGGAACTTGAAGAAACTTCTCCCGGAGTCCCAGCAGACTGATGACGAGTAGAGGTCTCTTCGCTTATGCACGACATAGTTTTAAGCTGCTCGTAGACGTTACTCAAGCTCGTTAGGTCTCTAGCCCTTGGCCCCTGTGTGGCATCCGGGCAGTTTAAGTCTTCGCTCCAGTCCTTACTGACGGGAGCACTTCGTGCTTTGTCGAGGCCAAGTGCAAACCTAGAAGAGCCTGTCCTTTCAGCCTTCCAGCTCCCACTGTTAATGCGCTGGGGAACTGCTTTGCGTACCGCGAAGTGGACTCTGCCGAAAAACCATCATCTCTTGGCGCCGATTCGGTCTGTTCGTTCGGTGACTAGGTTCCTTGGTCCTCAGCACTAGATTCGTCCTGGCTCGAAGCTTCCCCGGTGTGGGCCATTGAGCAGCAACATGCGCATGAGATCGCACAGCGAACTCACCGGACTCAACTTGCGACCAAACACGTCCTGCGTACGGAACGTCAGGAGTTACAAATTCAGCTTGGCCGTGTGAGATTCACACAAATCGTATGGTGGATGAGTCGCCAACGCCCGTACTGCCCGTGAAGCTGCCAAGTTGCAAAAATCGCGGAACATCCTTGCGTCGGGGTCGTCTTTGTCAGGGCAGACATTCCCACTGCACCGCTACCACAAAGGACTCGCCATGAGATTCGGTACGGTACGGCCATCAAAGGATTTGCAAGTAGCAGCTGAACAGAAGCCTTGCAGAGGTATGCAAGAGATTGCACCGGTAGCCAGACATTGTGCACATTCGGGGTTGCTCCACAGTAACTATCCAAGGTCCTTTTCGCAACTGCAAGCGCCACTGCTGTCTGCTCGTCAGCTGTCTGACTCGCGCCCGCAGTGCAAGCTTCCGCATTTCATTGTCCCGTGGCCCGAGAGATCCACTTCCAAGAATCTCCACAAACTAGAGCAACTAGAGACAGAACCTAAGGATCGTCAGGTTGACGTGGAAAATCTGCCGCACTCGAAGAGACCTGCGGGAGCCTCAAGACTCGGGAAAGAGCCCGCACCGTTGTTGATGTGTTTTGTTATTTTTGAGTTTTACCTTACTCTCTTACTCTCCGTCACGCTCTCCCTGCCTTTCTCCCTCACTCTTCCTCACCCTCCCTCTCTCGCTGCCACTTTCCCTCCCTCTGCCTCCCTCTACAGCTTGAGGCATCCCGATTGTGTCGGCACGTCTGTCCATGCAGAACTGAACGTGTCTATGAATGGCAGCACCACATTGCACTCATAGATGGCCTGCTCATTGCAGGGAGCACAGGGAGGCGCAGGTTTGTCCTTTGAACCGCTGCGTTGGCAGACTGTAGCTTTGACATGCGGTTGGCCCGTGTATTCAAGACAGTGGGACGTTGGGGCGTTGCCTGTCAGTCCTGCTGTAAAACATTCATAAGCTCCGACGCGCCACGTCAGCATTGACCCACGAGTTGTTTTTATTTTGGAAGCAACCCCTGCAAAGAGGAGTTTCACTGCATAAGACTGTTGGGTGAGGGCATGTGACATCTGTGACCTTTGGCTTTAGAATTTTGGAACCGCTGTATAACGGTGCTTACCCCGGGCCCTGGTCCTTGTGTTTTACGGCCTTGCGGGATGCACTCCTTTGGAGGCCGTGCGCAATGACCTCCCAGGCCCCCAGAACATCATCGTATTGAGGTTCTTAAGGCCACGAGTTCGGGGTATGGGGTGTGCGTGTGCGTGGTATGTATTTCCGTTCGCAAGCCCCAGGTTCACGATCTGTTCGACTTCACACAGGAATTCATCGAGCGGGGCTACCATGCAGAGCCACTCCGCTTCTTTCGAGACATTGTGTTTTCGCTGTTGAGAGTTGCCTGAATGGCTTCAGTTCATTTTCCAAAAGCATCAGAAGCACTACGGGTGGCAGCGTGCATGCCGGACTCCATGACAGTCGTCGTGATGTCGAGAGCAGCTGTGTCTTGCCATGCTTGAGGTACGCCAACTGGAGGGACTCATACCTGAAATGGCGTACCCTGTCAGACATGTATGCCAGAAAGGGGCTGCTCTGTGTGTGGACGGTGCATCGGGGCTGTCAAACCCAGTAGTGCTTTGAACCCCTCCGCGTGTAGCATTCTGCCACAGGACAGGGCGATGCCAAGGGCGCCAAGGGCGAAAACGCCCACACCACCCACCTGCGAAACAGGCATTACAGCTTCCTTGCTGTGGGGATGTGGCAATGTGTGATTGAATGCAGTTGCACAGACGCCACAGTTCCACCAATGCCGGAGTCGCAAACACTTGTCTTCGGATTTGGGTCGTTGTCAACGTTCATGTGGAAGCCATAGACGGCTGCCGGGACACAAAGCTGCTCTTAGCACCGTCAAAAATTTAGTTTTATCGCATCTGCCGCACTGCTGTGTGCACTTGTTCAGGAAGCAGCGCACCTTCGAATACTGGTACCCGACCGTCTCCAATTTCAACTTCAGACGCACCTGTGCCTATTGGAAACTCGGTCGAGTTCCCTGGGCTGCCTGCAGGCACACTCTTTCCGCTTGCCTGGCTTCTGAAAATTTGCTCAGGGAGCAAGCGGTTCACCTCGAGCCGTCCCCCTGAATTCACGTGATGCGAAGCCGGTTGTCATGTGGGTTTCCCCTGCTTTCTGGCTACTGTCGTGATGCTATCATGGTAGATCCACGTGATTATCACGGTTCATTATTGCTTCAGCTTCGACGGTGTGATTCAGCACCCAAGGATTGGTGTGCTTTTCGCCCCTTCGGCTGCAAATGGTGAGTCCACTTCGCCCGGGCTTAAGACGTGCAACGGCGCAGTTTCGGATTATGATAGAGTTGTTACGTTTCAACATATTAGGTACGGCTGGGAATCAGAAAGAGCACCAGTCAGAAGTACGATTACAGTTTCCAATGTAAAATAAGGTACGATTCCAAGTGCAGCCCGACGGCAGCATCGCGAATCGTTTTCCCAACAAAGAAGATCCCAAACCGTACCAAAACGTACCGGGATTGCATTGTGCCTGATCTAATCCGACATCGCTTCAGGGGTACTGTCATTGAGATCGTTCGCGGGTTTGCAAACTAACCAGCCTGAAAGACCAAGGCATTTGTTTGATGGCTTCTTAAGCCTAAGTAAGCAATGGCAGTGCTGATGCCTTGCAAAACAATCCTCGCTTCTACCATCCGAAAGCACGGAATGGTCTTTGCACAGCCCATGTCGCTCTAGGTGGAAGGATGCCTCTTCTTCCTTTGGCCACCTCTCTTCGATGCGTTCTGGCCTGGGGCGCCCGCGCGAATGAAGTGCCTCCATCTGAACTTCGGAGTCTGATGCAATGCCAACGACCTAGAGCGGTCGGTTGAGGTTGGGCTGAGGCTTGCCTCTGCTGCCTGCCAGGTCTGTGGTTTACTCGTTGTGCACCGTCCACTGTCATAGTCGATCTCAATGGTAGTGTCAAACAGGAGATCACTGCAATCGCCTTTCCCATCCCTCAGTCCCCCATGCGTTGTGCCGTTGCGACAATTTGTTCCTTTTCCAAAAAGTTCGGAGAACGAGGTCGAGGTAGCGACACTTCCCACGCGCCTCACTAGTTCCGACAGCTTCGCCCCTCGATCCCGAGGTTCTGGATAAGTAAGATTCCACTTCTGGTGGGAACTTCGACCTTCGGGTCCGGCATCTACATGGGATTCTTGTCCTGATTAACAGCGCATAGATTTCAGAAATCGTCAAGGACTTGTTGCTGCGTTACATGAAGTTGATACATCGGGATGCTGTACCAAAGGCCATCGGCCTCTCGACGTGTTTCTCGCGGTAATCTGGACATTTTCGCTTGGGAAGTGTGGGCCAATTCTTCCAATTCTACGGACTCACTGCAGCGCTAAATATCTTGAAGATAATGTCACCTCCATGACTGCTGAACTTGTCTCACTGTCCTAGTGTGCCTCTACTCGTGCCTTTCGCATTCTCACAAGCCTGTTGGGAGCCCATCTGCACGCGACAGAAACAAAGATGTGCAGATGCTTCCTGTTTTCTTTTTGGTTAGACGCAGGCAAGTTCCTTTGACTCTTTCTCCTCGTGAACCGATTCGTTGCCGTTGAAGGATCCCTGCTCAACAACTGTTGTTAACATGTCAGCGGCATCTTGTCGTGCCCTGCTGCACGAATCCGCTGTGAGGCTCTGGAATCGAATCGAACTTTGCAATGTCTACATTTGCCAGAGTTGCAGTAACCATAAGCCGCTGACAACTTGCAACTTGTGGGCATGTGGGTGCAAAGCAATGACGAACCGAGATATCAAAGCACAGCCTGCCCGTGCCGACAGTGTCACGATGGGACGCGAACTGCAAACGTGACAACCCACTACTGGCTTTGCACTCCTCTTCTCTCTCACTCCACATTCCCGCGAGACCGAGTTTGTCTTGTCTTGTCTGTCGCATGATCGGCATGGTGAGGCTACTTGGAGCTTATAAACATGGACGTCGATGTCTCGGAGCGAAGCACCTCGGCAGGGATGCGCCTCACCTCGGGAACGCGTTCCTCCATGATTTCGGCTGTGGTGTGCCCTCTCCGCTCTGAGGGGCTAACCTGGTCTGGTGCGATTGGCGGGCGCTCTACAACCTCCTGCTCGAGGCCAAGGAGGACAATGGTGAAGGCACTGGGAGCCTAGGGCCTGTGGGGACTTCGTGGCACCATCTTTCATGCCTGTGCTGGTAAGTTCGATGGTCTGGCACAATTCTCAGCTCTCTTTGATGGGTACGTGGAGGTGAGAACGTTGACGATGGCGAAAGCTCCGTCGCTGGCAGCTGCTGAGCAGCACATCGTTCTGCGGATTCCCCAAGCCTCCAGCCTCCGTTCCTTGCATTGCAGTGTCAGATCTGCTGCAGGCGAGGTCTTCTGGTATCAGCCGCTTTCCTCCATCCTCGGCAGCGGCCTCAGCCGCCGAAATGCAGACGGCGAAAGAACGCTGCTTTCTCTCAGCTAGAGGATGGGTGATCTACATGAGTGGCGCCCTCCTGTTCCAGATGGCAAACACTGCAGACCTCTTTGACATGCCGCAGGACTCACGAGCAACTCGTTGTCATCTTCGGTCGCAGCGATGTAGCGATTCGTGTGGCAGTGGTACTTCGGGTGGCGGCGGCGGGTGGGCGGTTGTTCTTATCGCAATCCTTTCGCAATCTTTCTGCGAATTTCGGTGATCGATAGTTTACAACATGACTCATGCCACCACAAACAAACGCATTATTTGTTCATTCTGGGTTTTTGCGACGTTGGCTGCTGAAGATGCTGTTCCTTTGTCGCCCCGGAGCCTCTTCCTATGGTCCTTGTCCAAACAAAGCAGCAGCGTGCCTTGACAATCTGCTGAGGTGTTTTGCATGGAGTAGTTGGTCGCGCATGCTCGCACGTGCACGGAATGTTGCTTCTCACGGTCCAGTAGCCTGCCGGCATTGCTGTCGCTGAACGTCCCATTGCGCAGTGTACCCGGAGGCTGTCTTTGCTTCAAGCGTAGAAGCCACACTGGACTGGGTTGCAGAGGAGATGCACGGAACTATCGTGGAGTGGCCACTGATCTTCGGAGGCGAAGCTCAGTCGATGCGCTGTGAAGCTAGGTTACTCCACGACCATTTGACATTGCAGGCCTCTGCTTCTTCTTCGGCGGCATTGCAGAGGTAGCAGCTTGGTCCGACAGCCTTGCGACAATCTTCGTCGGTAATCATGGACGAAATTTCCTGCGTCCAGCCGAGGTTCACAACCGCTGCTGGGCAACTCCACCAAACACTTTTGCCTCTTTTGCTGCATTCTGCTGAAGAAGAAGATGTGAGTTCGGGCATGTTTGCACTCACAAACCACTCGGCAAGCGCATGCCGCGCAAGATGGTAAGTCAGTGAGTGTGTGTGTGTGTGTGTAGCCGCCGGTCAGGCGTCACTGGCTGCACATAATATAGACGCCCCTAGAGTGGGCAGTGCCTTTGCAGCGCCCCTGCCGTGAGCTGCGTTTACACGACCGAAAGCCCAGGGTGTAGCCGATCCTGCTGCCCGGCGGTGTGTGTGTGTGTGTGTGTGTGTGGGTGTGTGTGTATGTGTGTTTGTGTGCATTGGACCGTTGAAACAGGAGGGCACGGTGTTCACCTTGGCATAATCCGCGCAGCATGCACCCAACAGCTCTGTGCAGTGTAGAGGGCTGACGCAAAGTCCTACACCCTGAAGGGTTGGCAGTGAAATGTGCGCGGATGCGCACAGGTGGCAGCAGAACGATGCTCCTGTTTGTGCAAGCCCTTGAGAGTGTGCAGGAACTGGTGCGCAAAGGCTTGCTCAGAGGGAAGGAACAGTGTCATGTCACGTCTGCTCCCGCATCGTTCAGGTGTGGTGGTCTTCCGTGTTGAACTTCTTTGGTGGCATCGCTTTCTGGCTGTGTGCCTGCAGATGCCTCAATATTGTAGGTCGTAGGCTGCGGCATGACCTGTTGTCATGTAAGTGTCGCCTGGGTCCGAGGCCCGGAGACCCTGGGCGAAATGACAACTCCGATTGGGGTAGGAGGCACTGCCTCCTGCAACGCTTGCTGTATCGGTCCGCTATTCCTATTCTGCCACGCTTCCAGCTGTACTTGTAAGGTACAGCGCTGTACCTGATTGGTGCCGTGCTGGGATTATGTATGTGGCCCTTCGACTGCAAAGTGTAAGCCACAAAGAAAGAATCAGAGGCCGAATACTTGCGATGTCAAGAGAGGGCCATCGAAGCTTCAAGCGATTTGCTGCACAGCCTTTGCAATTCAGGCGAGGGGAGCAATTCGGATTGAGCCTGATCTCAAACTTGAACAGTCGCTTGGTCCGGAACATCCGGAGGTTTTGGGTTTGCAATGCGTAGCAGCGTAGCATATGCCATAGATGGCTGCACTGAGGAGTGCAGCGTGTGGACGGAACGAAGATCGCAGTCCGGACGCATGCCGAGACGGGCGTAGCTTGGCGGTAACGCAGAGTGCAGGCCTTGCATCCAGGGCTGGCGGACTTTTGCTAAGGTCAGTGAGATCATGCCAATCAACCCGCAGGCGTGGCAATGCACAGTCGATCATGAACCACGCTGCATCTGTCCCCCTCACCTTGGGTTAGTGAACCTGCAGGTAGCTGGTATGTCCTTGCCGGGAAGACAGTATGTTGTGGCGTGATGCACGCTGTTTCTGGAGGCTCTTCAACTGGATGACACCAAAAATGCCTTGCAGCCCAAACTGTCCTGGCGCGGTCCCTCGGTGCTTCCATCTGAGACTTCTGGGCTAGACGGAGTCCTACATGTTGATGAGATCTTCATTTGCATTGCGATTGTCCGCGGGGCTTAGGACTAGTCTTCGTGCTGCTGCACCTCGGATTGCAGTGGGAGCCGGGAGCAGTGCTCGTGCAGCCTGGCCTGGTACAGGTGTGTTCTCTGGGGCACAGCCTCGATCCTGCACGTTTTTGCAGTTCCAGCTGCACCCTGGGAGTTTGAGTCCACATCAAGGACCTATCGAAGGCTCGATGAGCCATGCAGTTGCCATTACGGAAGATGAGCGGAGCACTCGTCCCCGACAGGCACTTGCTTTCGCAGGAAATGACGAGCATCGTCCATGCCATTGGCACTTCTTCTGCATCTCCGTGGATTTTTGGAGTGATCTCGCACAGAGTCCACACACGAATAGGACCAAACCCATCTAAGGCGCTCATCTCATCATACTCCTGAACTCTGCAACGGTCAACGTGGAATCCTTAGATCAATTCCTTCCAAGAGCTTGTCCGACCAAAATTCTGCCAGATTACATGCCCATAGCATGTAATTCAAGGTGCCGGCAGAGGAGCCGTTTCGCTTCATGACGCTTGCCTTGCGGCTTCTGGTGGCTGTCGCTCAGCCAATGTTGTGGCTTTAGATAGCCAAGAGGCTTTGGGACTTGGCCTCAGGCTTCATGGGCGGGTTATCACCACTGCAAGACCAGTGGGAGGTTGCCAACATTGTAGCGCAGCAAAGCTTCCCCATCCGTCTCCAGACACGATCAGCTTGATGTGCCATAAACTGCTGACTTCTACCGATGCGCAGAGCTCACCAGGTGATGACGGCACAGTCAGTGCCTGGTCAGCAACAGAATTGGAGTTTGGGGGTGCCCGTGCTTCACGGAGCTGTTGATGCACCCTGCTACTTGGGAAATCAAGCCTGCAAGACGAGTTCGTCAGCTTACGCCGAAGGTCCTATCGAACTGGACATTCCTGATTGATGAGCACGACTGAGACCATGAGGGCGCTTTCACGTGCAATTTCATGTTTGCCTGCAGGCCTCTGCCGTGCGTCTACTGTATCGTGAACATAGCTAAGCTGCCTGTGGTATGAGGGGGGCTCCCCCGGCAGCGTCGGTGCATAACGCGTCCGTTGGGACTGTAACTTCCTGTTCATGCCTCTGATGATAAGATTGTTTGGTTGTCGTGACATGACGGATTGCTACACTTTTCGGGACTCGATGCACAAAGCCTTTTGAAGCCATGCCGTTGTTCTGACTCACCCGGGCATCAGTGTTTAAAGTCTGATTCTGATTTGAGTTGTTTGTCCGCATCAGACGAAAGAGTGAGGCAGTGTAGACTTCCGGAACAAGCAGAAGCTTCACTCTTCTTCTGCTGTGCAGACTGACAGGTGTAAAAGTCACACGGTTTTCCAAGCATGAAGAGCCGCAGAACACCAAGTGCTCAAATTGCTGGCCCTGCATGATGGGATCGTTGTGCTCCGGACACCTTGGTAAAAAATTGCGCTGCGGCAGTATATGTTTATGTGTGTGTATGTATGTGTACGTATGCATGTATGAAGGCTTTCTGGCTGCAGGTTGTCTCTGGTGTTTTGCGTCCACCTCCTCTCCTGTATTATGGACTGGTTTCTTCTGCTCTCGTGGATCGTGAGCACGCTGGAAATGAATCACATAGCATGTGACAGATCGGCAGCTCGCAGCTCACATCAGCCGTGGGAGGACACTGCAACCGGAAGGGAACTGGGTCTGCTGAGTGCAAGATCGTAGTGGACACTTGGCCACCCAAACTGTGCGAGCGACGTTGAAGCATCGGCTAGGCGACTCACCAGTCGCTACGGAGATGATGCTGCGTGGCAGCTGTGTACCCCAACGAGCCTTTTCAGAGCCGAGTGGTGTTCATAATGCGACTCAGTTGCCCCCACTATCTCTCATGCTCGCAGACAAATCACAATCTAATCAGTCTGAGCTTCTGCTTGCAGTGGGCTTCTCCTCGCAGTTGTCTTCTTTACCGCAGTTGGTTCCTGACTGCCGCTAATAAGGGCGAGAACACTGCGTGTCGCCTGCTGCAGTCAATAAGCGCGAGAAAGCCGCAGCAAACTCTCCCTTGGTGTTGCGTTCTCGGAGACGACGCCTTGCCGAGGCGGATTTTCCGAACAATGCTTGCGCAGATGAGGTGTTGCCCGTTTTTGCTTGGATTGACCATTGTTAGTAGGAAGAGCAAGAGGGCACTGCGCTCCCTGGTGCGAATGAGAAACTGTTCATATTATGGTGACGGCCAGGAGTTTTTGTATTACGGTACTTTGACTTGGATTTAGCGCGCCTTGCCGTGGTTTACCGTCAGATGAGGTTTATATGTCTTGTCGGCGCATGGCGAACACACGAGACGCTGGTGTGACAACTCCCCCTGTTCTGTTTCAGCATCCTTTCTGTAGACACGATGTGGGCGCAGGCTTTTCCTACAACTTTTGAGTATTTGTGTGAGTATGCATGTGTACGTACGTATCTGTGTGTATGTGTATGTGTGCGAGCAGCAGCTTTTGTGTATGTACTTCTGCTGCTAGACTGCGCATGCAATCAGCCATATGCAGGCCACCTCGTGCTCGCAACGATTTGCTCAGATTTCCATTTTCCAACAAGCTTTCGAGACTGTATTCTGGTAGACTGGCGGTGGCTCTGTTGCAGATCCTGTTTTTTTCGTCCATGGCTGAGAAGTGTCAGATTCCCTCACCGGGTGCCTACACCAAAGATGATTGAGCCATGCTCGTGGCAATTGGTGCGGCGCAGCTGCTTCTCGCATCTTGGCTGCTCGGGAGGGAGTGACGGAGCGAAAGGGAACAGAGGAGGGAGACAGAAAGACACGGCACACATACGTCTTGTTCCTTACACAGCCGAGCCCGTCCATTCCGATAGTGGGCGGGGCATGCACCCGCATGCGGTCGAGTGCAAGGTGAGGGCTGTGCGTGCAGGAGCTAAGCCGGGCAACATCAGTTTATATAAAGGCGGCAGAGGGGGCATCTCGTACACGGAGAACAGTGTGCCCAGCAAGGCCACATTCACCCCGACGCAGCGAGCCGGGCGAGTAGCTTACCCTGAGCGGGCGGCATCCGTTGTTCCTCTCAAGTCTGCAGCGAAACGAGAACGAGAGCGAACGAGAGAGAGAGAGAGAGAGAGAGAGAGTGGAACAAGCATACAAGACAACCTCACACCCAACAGCCGACGAGAGAGACCAACCTGCCCCAGAGCAATCCAATGAACGACTCATCTTGAGCCCTTGCATCAGCAGCGGAGGGTGTAGCATGTGAAGGGGAAACCTGAGAGCCTACACCAATCACGCAGCAGCCAGAGAGGAGAGAACAGTCGCATGTCCAGTCACTTACATGTTCAGTTGCACCTTGTTTTGCTTGCCAGTGCTGCAGCTGGCGTCAGCCTTGAAGGAACCCGCAGCAGCTTGAGCGCTCAATGCCCCGCAGGACCTCCTAAGGCAGCCGTCATGGTCACCAAGGGAGCCGCCCTGCTTTGTGTGGCAGCAGGATGCCTCCTGTTGCAGAGCCCGATGATGGGCCGCGCGCAGAGCTACCACAGCTCAGAGGAACCCTCGGGGAGCACTCCACGAGGGACGAGAATGGGAGACCCCAGAGCGGGGAGAGACACAAGGGGCGCCGGGCCTCTTCCGCCGCGAGCACCAGACCAGCTCGCAACCGCAGGGGGAACACTGCCAACGACAGCTACAACCCAAGCAAGCCGGACCGGGGGAGCAGCCGGACAGCTCCCACCAACACAGCCACAACAACCACCAAGCCAAAGCAGTGCAGCGGGCTCGATCGCTGGCACACACCACATGCCTTCAACCCATGCCGGGGGAACTCACCAGACCACGCCCCCACATGGAAGCAACACGCCGCAGCAGCAGCAACCATGGTACGCCGCGGCCTCTCAACAACCAATGCCACAGCAGCCACCACCGCAAAACACGCCACAACAACCACAAGCCTACCACTGGCAACAGCCCACACACCCACCACCACAGTACGATCCGAACACGGATCCTTGGCCACAACCTTACCAGCAAAATCCCCCTCACACCCAACATACCACCGAGGGGGCACCCTCACAACCGCAACCACAACCACAATCACAACCACCACCACAAGCCCAACAGGGGCAACGGACCGGAGTGCTCCTACTGACAAGCCAACCTCCGGACAACCCTGCACGGCAGGTCGCACAAGGCCTGGCAGAGATGTACAAACAACAACAGCAAGCGCAGCATCAGCCACCGCCACAAGAACCACCTTACACAGCGGCTCGGCTAGCCCAAGAACACGGGTTCGCATACTACGATGCCTGGGGGAACCTACGCGACTCAGATGGACAAATCATCGAACCGCCAAGCACACCACAACACCAGCAACCACAAGCCACCGGACCGACAGCCACGGGAGCCCCCATCCGCCCCCATGGCCCCCACGGCATAGCCTACGCCAGCGAATACAACCCCGACACGGACCCGTGGGCCAACTACCACCCGACAGCAACGGCCACCCCCCAACAAGGGGGGGAACCACACCACACTACACCACCGGCAACGGACCAACCGACGGCCCCACCTACACATGCTGACCCAGACTCTCAACCACAACAGCCACAGCAGCCGACACCGCAGACCCGACAGGCGACACACAGCCTCCCCCTCCGACAGCCACCGCAGCGGGGGAAGCTACACCGCGCCTGGCCGTCCGGTCTCCCTTCGAGACGGTGACAGGAACACGCCTCCCACCAGGTGGCACCAAAGCCATCCCTGGGATGACCATGCGTGAACACTACACGTGGATCACGACTGGGAACATCCCTACAAGCTACATTGAGAGAGAACTCCTACCCACAGCCGACGAGAACAGCGGGGGAGATGGAGGCAGCACGCAGGGGGACGGCACCCAGCCAGCAGCGACACAACAATCACCACGACGCCGCAGCGCTCAGCCACGAAGCCACCGCCAGCATGAAGGAGGGGGAGCCACCCGCACGAGAAACAAAGCGGAGAAATACCGCATCAAGCGCTGGCTGAAAGCCAACGACCTGCACCACACCAGGTGGGGACAACATCTCCACAGCCAGGACCAAGCACACCACAACAACACACACGCAACCCAAGCCGACGCAGCCCCAGCAGAGAGCAGCCCACCACCCACATGGCAACCGCCCCAGCTTAGCGCAAGCGAGCGGGCCCACTACTTTCGGCTGTTGAACCCCGGGCAACCACTACCACCGCACCTGGCCACACCAGACACACCTACCAACTCGGAGCAACCACCCACGGCAACCAAAGCATCCACCTACACTCCCCACTGGAACCCCGACGATGCAGACGCCACCGCCACGACAGCTCCGCAAGCAACGAGCTACTACCCCACCAGAAGACCACCACAACAACCAACCACACAGGCCGGGGACGAACCACCACACAAACCCCGCGCCCCAACGCTTGGAGGGGAACACTCCTCCCCACCTCCACTACCACACTCAGCCATTACCACTACCAGCCACACAGCCCTCAGAGCAGGTAAATGGCTCAGTCGGATCGAGTTCCAATCCGACATACCTGCACACAGCGGGGGAACAGTTCCACCCCCACCAACGGGGATGCCACTCGGAGCCTACCCTCCCATCAGTGGAGAAACCTGGCTCATCATGGAACCAATCTCCGAAGCCCGCTGGTTAGCCACAGTCACACAGACCCCAACAACCCAACAGCAGGAAGCACACAGCATGGCCCTCCAGGTGGGAGACCAGTTCCTCCTCATGAGAACCAGGACGCACTGGAACATGCAATTTACTACCACCACCCCTGACCGGTTTTTCACACCGGGGGACCCACAGCCACAGCCAACAACAGACGGCAGCAGCCCCAGCCCGGAGGAATGGGAGACAGACGCCCCCCAAGACACCAACCAAGACACGTGGCACGACCCAGCCAGCCACCCACAACAACAGTGGGGAACACACGAAGCTCACGGCACCCACCACGACTGGCACACACCAGAGCCAGAAGAGACGCAACCAGCTCAACCAGAGCAAGACGGGGGGGAACAACAACCACAACCACCACCACAACAACAACAACCACGCGACCCCCTCTCAGACGGCAGAACACTACGACGCTCCAGCTTGGAAGCCCAAGCCGCCACAGCCCACCACCGTGCACAGCCCGCACCTACTCCATGGTTCGAGCAGATACGAGATGGAAGGCAATTTGGCCCAAAACCGAGCCCTGCGCCGAGCCCAGCTCCCGAACATGACCGCACGGAGCTTATGCAGAGGGTGCCGGAACTCACTACATCGTCCTCTACCAGTACCACCTCGACGCCACCAACGGCAAGTTCGCCAGACCACGAGGGGGAAAGCCACTGGAACGGAACAACTACCGACGAGGAGAACTGCGGCATGATCCGCAGACGCAGGCGAACACCGCTGGTAGACCAGCTCCCGGGGCGGCCAGCGTCCACAGCCGCGGGCTCAACCGACCCACCGCCAACTGCACGAACGGGGGAGGAGCCAGACCTGCAGGCCCTACTGGCAGCACAGAGGGGGGCAATAACAGCTACCCTGGCGCAACTGCAGATGATCCACGAGGTTGCGGATGGCCTTGCCAACCGAGATGGAGAAATCATCTCCAATATCTGACCGATCGCGCTCCGTATGCTTTCCCAGGCAGATACCCACACAGAAGCCAGAATGTGGGGGAGAACTGTCATGGGGGAGCCGACAGGGATGAGTGAAGCCTACCGTTTTGTGGCTTCCATGCGAGTACGACGGGGGGAAGGCTTCACCCCGGAAGAGTTCGCGACCGACCTCAGCCAACTCCGAGCGATGATAGAGGCCGGGTTGTCCGAGCTTCAGGAACCTATGCCACGGGACGTTACAGAGGCTAGCGTCCAGAAAGCTTCCGCAAAGCTGCGTGAAGCATACAACATGGTCGATGGAGTGATCCTACGTGCACTTGGAGGGGAACGTGACTGGAATACACTGACTTGGTGCTCAAAGATATCGTGCCCTATGTGTCGGACACGGTCCTGCTGCCAGTGGTGGAGCTCCTGCACGCTGTGGAAGCATGGCAACAGGCACTGTTTGGGGGAGTACATGCAGTACATGAGAGTACACAAACGGGGGAAGCAGCGCTGGACTATAACCGGGAGCCAGAGAATGCCCACGGGTCCAACGCGCAGCTTCGCGACACCGAGAACGAGGCAACGGACCTGCACCCCAACGCCGTGGACAACGAAGAGAACCCGACAGCACCGGGGGGAGCGCTGACTGCGGCCCAAATGGAGGCAGTCATGACTGCCAGTCTCCAGCAGGCAGTCAACGAAGTTGGGGAGATGGCAACACTGCCAACACAGACCGAAAGTGAAGCCCCAACGTTGCCCTGGCCTGCACTATGGCCTGGAGGGGACCATGAACCAGAACGTCCTGAGAGAGGCCGCTCTAGAAGCCCCCACCGTGACGATGACGACGGGGGAAGCCACCGCCGAAGGCGGTTACAAGCAGCTTTCTATGGTAAGCACGGGCCCTACTAATCGGGGGAATGTCACTGTTCGTGGAAGTCCATACTCTAAAATGTACATCATACTCTGTATGGGGGAGCCGTGCGAACCAGTATAATAGGTACAGTGCAGCCAGGGGGAACACGACCGGGGGAGCAGTTGTACGTGTACTCTACTGTACTGACTCACCTCGCGAGTGTTTTCGGCCCGGCCCTCAGAGTGAAAGTGTGCAGTAACTACTAGAAGTGCCAGTGTTCTTTGCGGTGTCCTGTTGACTGTTACCAGTGGAGGGGATTGCACTATCCTGCACCAAAACCCCCAGGCTAAGGAACCAATGCTGCCGGTTCCCAGCCGAAAACGGGGGAATGTTCCCTGTATAGCCGAGCCGCTCTGAACGATGTTTCGGAGGGGGAACAGACCATCCGCGAACTGCGGGTGTGCGGTGCGCACGGGGGGATGGCCCAGGACGCTGGCCTGAACCCCAAGCCCGGTAGAGAGAGAGAGAGAGAGAGTGGAAGAAGTGCTTTCTAAAAAGACAGAGAGGGGGGCACCAGCTCCTTTTGAGGTTTCAGGGTTGAGCGGAAGGTCGAAGGCAGTGTGGCGCAGGGATCAGCTTCTGTTCGGTGTGAGGCAGGGACCAAGGTTGGGGTACAGGTACCGGAGGGTCACAAAGCGGGAGGGGGCACCCGAAGCACCTTTTGCGCTGCCGCTACGTAGACCTATGTCCGTTCAAAAGCCCGGGAGCCACAGCCCGCAAACTTTCGTTCCAAGTGGAGTGGGGTATCCGAGTCTCTAACAGTTTGTTTGTTTTTCGAAGAAGGGGAACCTACCCCCAAGTTCCTGGACAACAAGGAACCTGTCAGTCTGAACAGCCGAGCCCGTCCACAGAAAATAGTGGATGGGGTAGCGCACCTGCGCGGGGCGCGGGGCGGGAGGACTGCTCCTGCCTCACACCCCGAGCAAAGCAAAGCAAAGTGGGAGAAAAGAGAAAGAGAGCATCTCTACCCAGAATGTGCTGAATGACGAGACTCCTACTCTGCTGGTGGTTGTGCTTTTGCCTAACAATCCTGCTCATGAGGTGTGTTCCGAAGTGCCTGCCCACAACAAACTGAATGATGTTAAGTTAGCATGTCTTTCCCACGTTACGCTGCTCCTTAATTCCGAAAAAAGGGAGGTATGATTGGGCACGAACTAAGGTGACTCTACCACCCAACGTGTTGTTGGGACGGGAGTGAGAAACGAACCTAAGTCACCGCGAGGCTAAAGCCATGAAGGTTTCGTTAATGGCCAGGGTGACCGTACGTTCTCCAAGACAAATTCATGACGCCATTACATCATCCCCCGGATCAGGAGTAAGAAAGGGAATACGGCTGAAGGAGTGATTCCAAGATGATGTTGACCGGCTTCACCTTTACCGCTCTCATTTCCGATGAGCGAGTTAGGTGCGCCCAACCATACTCGTGAAGGTGACGTTTGCAGCACTACAGCCTTGAGGGGGGGCTAGTGCCTGCAAGAACTTGATCTTGGACCTTTCGGACCGGGTGGAGACCAGCTTCTTCTCCAACCGCTTTTACGCAACGAAAAGGAAGCTTCGCGGCGACCACGACAACGCTGGACGGGGAAGTATAACAACCCAGGGTTCGTGACTGTGGCAGGAAGGGCGACGTTGAGAACCACACACTACAAAATGGCAGCCCGGAAGGGGCGAGAGTGCAAGCTCTGCCGACACGGGGGGGGGGAGTTTGCCAGATAGGCGTCAGGAAAGTGCATGTATGTGAAGACCCACAGTGCAGACTCCATGGGGTCACTCAAAGAATCAATGTCAGGCTGCCAGAACCTTACCCGCCACCGCTGCCAGCACCGGCCCAAGAAGCACCACAGATGACACAGACACCTCTGGACGAAAGAACAGCTTTCCGCACGCAGGGGGGGCTGCATCTTGTGTTTGAGCCGGAGGCAGCCGGAGGCGACCGATGCATGGACAGCCAGACGCATCGAGACTTGCGATGGGGGAGGCTACATGGACGCTCAAACGGGGGAGCCCCTTGGGCCAGCTGAAGTGACCACCTACGAGGTATATCTCCAACGTCTTTCCGAGCTCCACCGGTGGGAGAACAGGTGGACCGGCTGGTCCGTATAGTAGACCGGTACCTGCCAAACGTTGCCAATAATGTGAGTCGGGTCTATCTCATGCGATACACACAAAAGCTGAACACCATGCTTAAAACGGCGTGGGCACTGCGCCGGAGAATCCCAAAAGGAAGGGACGCAGAAGCAGCTACCTGCTACCTCAATACAGAGCCAGAGCCGGGCCCCAGAGCAAGCCGAACGACGTCACGATGTGAGGGGAACCATGGGAGCGTATGCGACAAGGGCAGCGAGTGCTTCGGAGGAGACGCCGCCTGACTGGGGGGGGGCAAAGAAGAAGAGGCACGGCAGAGGAGGAAAACACCGACATGGTCAAGTTCTGAGACTCAGTGAGCGCAGCAAAAAGTTTCTCCTGTGATGAGGCCGGGATGCCGGCAAAACTCCAGGGAGGGTTGGTTCCTTACCAGGCACACACCACCTTTTGCACCGTCCTCGGGGGGACAAAGACCCTACCACTGAACACCCCAAAGCCTCTCCAGCATACAAACGGGGAAGCGGGGGCCTTGGCGCGGGTTCGCCTTGCGAACTCTTTCCTCGAGAAGCGAAACGAAGCGAAGACGGGAGGACTGTTCCCGTGTCAAACCCCGAGCAAAGCAATTCAAAGAGAGAGAGAAAGAGAGAGAGAGAGAGAGAGAAAGCCCAGTTCACATGCTCAGCACGGCGTAGTGTACAGTGCCCACCAGAGCAGTGGCTCCGCCCTTAAAACGGGGGACCGACAGACGAGGCGCGGGGGTTCATTAGGTTCTAATAATATGGTGTTGCCAGTTCAAACCGGGCTTCAGTCTGGAGGGAGCCGAGAACGGACTAAAGGACGTCGGCGCGCGCTCGCGCGCGGGGCAGTGCTTTGCGCTGCCTTTGACCGATTGCATGCAGAGAGAGAAAGAAAGTGAAGGGATTCGGTGGTCGAGCTTTGTGCTGTTGCGCATCTGGGAGTTGTGGGGCCACTTGGCCACGGGGGGAGAAGCAGTGAAAGGCATGGTAAGTCTCATGGCAAAAGTCCTGCGACTCGCTCAGCAGCTACCAGGAAGGGAGCCAGTGAGGGGGAACCGGGGAATGCCAGAAGACTGCACCCCGCGGGAGCTTTGCTTGATAGCCCGCCGATCAAACGGCGGAGACGTTGCTCGGTGAGGTCTGTAGAAAGGAAGCTAGTTGTGTACAGGTTGCGCATTCTCAAACCGGGGAAAACCGAAGCGTTTACGTGTCGTGGTGAACTTGATCCTGTTTGTTGGTACATTGAGCCCCAAGGCCTTCCGTGGAAATAGTTGCCAAGTTTTGCGAGCCCTTGTTGCATGCTGCGGTACTCTCTAGAAACACACAGGAGACACTTGCTGCATCCTCTAACAGTAACACGGGGGACACATTCTTTTGAGTTGGTTGCTGAACGAGGCAATTGGTGACTGTTGGGAGTTTTGTCTGTAGGCGGGCGGACGTTCGTTCGGCTACAACTTCACTGCCGGATGTAGAGCTGGAAAGTACAGCTGAGCCCTCTTTGGCTAAGTCAAACAGGCCAAATCCTGCGGACTGCAGGTGCGCGTTCGCATGCGGAAGCGGTAGCGTCCGCTGCCTCTTTCCTACCTGGCAGAGACAGAGAGAGAGAGAGAGAAAAAAAGAAAGTTTCTGTAGACAAAGACACGGCAAGAGAGAGAGGCAAAGAAAGAACGGACGAAATAGAGAACGACAGCAAAAACAAATGAAAGACACACCTAAATTCAAGACATAGCGAAGGAAGGACATGAACAAATAAATCGATAAACAGCGAAGACAGAGCGAAAGACAGAAAGAGGGAATTAAAGAGAACATTCAGAACAAAAGAAGGGAAATCAAACATAAAGACCAGGTACTCTAATTGCCCCGCTTAGATTCACTGCAAAAAGCGAGGCCGAAGAACTACAGAAACTGCTGGAGTACAAACGTGCTCAGATGACTTCAAACGACGAAAGTGCCCAAGAATTCTTATTGCTTTTTCGCGTGGCCAAAACGCAAACAACGAACAACCGAACAACATGAACCAACAAAGCAAAACATGCGAAAGAAAGAAACAAAGCAAGAACGAAAGACATAAACAAGGAATGCTAGACATAAGCAATCAAGGAAAGATAGAACAAAGAACGATGCAACGAACGAAATTCATACAAACACCAAAGACGTGCAAAAAGAACGGACAAGTTATAAAAATAACGACAAAGATTACAAAACTAATAGATGCTCGACAGAAACAGAGAAAGACAGGAACACTGAAGAACGAAATACAGAAATGACGACATAAAAGGTAGGATATAACTAGCTACAGAAAGACTTAACGGACAAAAACAGAAAGAAACAAAGCCATACATAAAGAACGATAGAACGTTGCAGATAGAAACCAGAAACAAAAATAACTAACGGAAGGCATAAGCAAATACACACGGAAAGGTGGGGTGTCAACAGAGCAAGCTAGCTTTACAGACGTGGTGGGGGATCAGGGTCTGTATATAGGGAAGCCCTTTCCCTGCCAACGCTTGGAGCGGATGTGAACATCTTAAGCGCGTCGCCTTGCTGCGCCCGCTGTGGCTCCGGTCCTCCCCTTTCCGCTGGTGTTATTTGGGAGCGACATGGACTATGAACGTGAGGTGGGAGCGGGGAGATGCTTGCCCTCCTCTTACGATTGGAACTATAGAAGATTTACTGCCGCGGACCCTTGCATCCCCCAAGGAAAGAGATGAGAGGTGATAAGCACAGCAGGCCCTATGTTTTTTGTGCGAACACAAGCTCAGCACGGGCTTGTGCAGCCCTTCCCAGCCCTAGTCATGCAGACTGAAGAACGGCATTTTTCCTTGTCAGCTCTGAGGCCAGCATCGCGTCGGCGGGTCCCCAAATCTGCGTCCTGGAGCCAGAGCGGCTTCGGCGCTGCATCGAAGCGCCCTGGAGCAACAGCCGGTGAGGGTGGGGGGAGGGGTGCGCGCATAGGGTCCAAGTGCAAATCGCCGAGGCGGCCAGCGCTGTGTTTGCAGCTCCCGGCCCAAGCGATCGGCTCCAAGGGCATCTACTTTGGCGGGGCCTGGGCTGTGATGGGAACGAGAAGCACGGCTCTCACGAGCCAGGCTCCTTGCATTTTGTGACCCAGACCCCGCCGTCTTGACGTCTCGGTGCTTCTGAGAGGAGATATCCATCTTGTCCGGCGAGGGCGCTGCTCTTTCTCGGAGAAGGTGGATGGGGCGCTGTGACGCTGTGGTGCTGTCGAATTCGAAACGTTTGAGCTCGGCCGCTCAAGGCTTCGAAGTAACACTCCTGAGCAGTAGGAGATTGGGAGATTTTGCATGTTTGGGTGAAAATCGCTTTGAGTCTCTGAAACTTCTCAGTCGACGGTGGCCGCTCGGCGCGGTGCCAGCGCCGTGCTCGTGGCAGACTTCGAATCGGCACAAGACCACCAGGAGAGGAACAGAGACGGAAGTTTCGGTTCTGTTGGTCTTGGCTTTGCCTTTTCCTTCGGAGGCCGCCGACACCCTCGTGGCCGGGTCACAAGGCAGAGTTGGCAATTGGATGCCTTTGGATGCAGCTCGGGGCTCGGGGGGCTCGGATGGGGGGCCGTGAGGCCCGGCGGCCGGGGGGCGCGTGCCGCTGCTGCTGCTCGGCGCTGGCAGCGCGCGGCCGCTCCTGGAGGCCTTGGAAGCAGGAGCGGCGGAGCGGAGCGGAGCGGAGCGCGGCGGAGCAGAGCTGGAAGGAGCATTGGGCCTAGGCTGGGGCTCTTTGGTCAGGAGAGCTGGTCCAGATCGAAGTGGAAGTGGGGAAACCGGCCGCTTCTATAGTGATGGACGCCCCTGGGTTGCAGCAATTATGCGGGGACTGAAGGCACCTTAAAAGGATGGAAGCAGTAGCTGATGACATGTGCCTCCAGTGCTTTCAGTGGCCTCTCTCTTCAGGTCTGGCTGCCCCCTGATGCTGGAGCTCTCCTTGCAAGCCTGGCGCCGACTGCACGCTGCTGGGCCGGAGTCGTCCCAGGAAAGACCCGTTGTGGCCTTTGGGCTTTGAGACTGAGGCGATCTCCCGGGGCTGCGGGTCCACGTGCACTTCCGTGTTGTGGCAGCTCCGGAGGTGCGGCAAAGCTGGTTCGCTCGTACCGGCATCAGGGGGATGCCACTGCATGGTCGTCTCGAGGAGAGGAACTGAGTCGCCATGGCAGGGAGCGAGCCCCGCGCAGATTGCTCGCCACTGCTATGCTGGGCTCAGAGAGCTTTGCCGCCTGGTTGAAAGGAGTGTGCTTCTAGCAAGGACCGTGGTCCCAAGCTCTTTTGTACGGAGCGGGATGCACCTCATGAGCGAATGCTTTCGGTGGCTGGCAGTATCGTGATTCGGTTGATGGAGAAAGGCTTTGGGTCGATCATCTTTGGAAGTTCGTGCAATGCTGGCGTGAAGTTTCCTAGGCGGGATATAGAACGGAGTGTTGGGCAAGAGGACTGCTGGCTTATGGATACGCCGAAGATCAGTGTGTGTGTGTGTAGGTGTGTGTGTCGGTGGACATGAGGCTGAATCCCAATCGAAAGGTGAAGCATGGTGAGGCAGTGTGATGAACCTGCGTCCCAAGGTTCCGCCCGCGTTCTGCAGCCCTCGGAAACAACGCCTGCTGCACCGTGGCTCCGCGAGGTATAGCTGGAACGTCTTCTCGAGACGAGCAGCGATTGGCTTGGCACTGACAGGCCGTCTTTCAGCATTGCTTGCTGCGTGGCTTCCCTCAACGTGGCTCGGCCATAAGTGTCCAACAATTCCGAGCCAGGCTTGTACTTTGTCGCATATCGGCGTTAGAGAGCAACCAACTTTTACCAATTGGACTTCTATTAGACGGGTACTGCAGGGTGCAGAGGTTGTGTTTGTAGCAAGCATCGCTTCTACAGATTCTACAGGCGCGTCTTCTGCAGTAGCGCTTTTGCAATATTGGCATGGTTTCAGCCGCACATGGCTTGTCATGATATGCTTGAGATTTTTGGAGATTGTCGTTGGAGTTAACGGAACGCACACTCAAACTGCAGTAGGAGATTCTGTCCCAGCGAGTCTCAGAACTCTGGCAGGCAGGCTGCAATTTGGTGTCAAAAGGCGGAGAAATCAGGGCTTCGTGCATGTGTGCCTGAGGATATTGGTGGAAGTATGTGGAGATGGTTTCCAATTGCAGCCGCCTGGCAGGGCCAACGGGCAACGGAGGGGGGCCTGGGCCGCTGCTGCTTCGCTTCGTCGAGGCTCCGACAGCTGCTTGCGAAGCTCGCTGGCAGAGCTGGGCCTCAGCGCGCGCGAGGCGCGGGCGGCGCCCACGCAGCAAGTGCTGAAAGGTGACGTTCAGTAGGACAGGCATGAAGCCAAACCAAGCGCAAGAGCAGTCTCAAGACACTGAGCTATTGAGTAGGGAAGCACCGCAAATTCAGTAGTAGCAGTAGTAGTAGTAGTAGTAGTAGTAGTAGTAGTAGTAGTAGTAGTAGTAGTAGTAGTTGTAGTAGTAGTAGTAGGAGTAGGAGTAGGAGTAGGAGTAGTAGGAGTAGTCGTGGTACCACACACGCTCGTGGGAGGACTGGTGCTTTCATGCGTTTCGGAGCCAGTTTGCACGATAGGAGGGGGGTTGGGGGGTGGGGGTTGGGGGGTGGGGGGGGGGGGAGGATAATAACGTTCATTTTGCTTCTTTGTACAACATACTGCGAAAGGATGTGAAGCAAGAGAAGTTGTCACAAGCATCCATGATTTTGGCGACCATGCTCAAAACACTGGTATTTACAGCAGCTTTGCTTCTTTGTACAACATACTGCGCAAGGATGTGGGTTGTCACAAGCATCTATGCTGTTGGCGACCATGACCAAAACACTGGTATCTACAGCCGTTTTGCTTCTTTGTACAGCAGAAAGACAATGAGGACAATATTAAGTTGATTGTTATGTCAGGGTGTAGAAGGGAAACAGTTACCTCTGGAGTTAATTGTCGGTCTTCTTCCGCACCCCTGTCCGGACAATCAGCTCGGGATTTAATTGTTGTCTGCAGGTTGAGGTCTCTCTGAGGTGAGGTAGCTCTTGATTTAATTGTTTGCTCGGGGTGCTTGGAGGTTTTTTTTTTCCATTTGCTGCGGTGGTGTCCAAGTCGGACGCTCCCCTAGCTACGAATTCACGGGTGGAAGAAGCTTATGGCGACAGGATCCGGGACGGCAATACAATGAAGCCGGCTTCCGTCAACCATTTCGCCGCTGGCCCCAAGGCTCCTTCCATTTGCAGAGCTTCCAAATCACCCATGATTAATTTCAATTTCTTCGCTTTTAACCCCTCGAAGCGTTTTCGTGTGGCTTCATCTTTTGTGTGTCATGACCGAACGCTTATAAGCAGAAATACGCCCCCCCCTTTGTTCTTAGAAGAACAACCCCCCCTATTGTTGTCCCCCTCCCACCTTCCGTTCTTCGAACAACAACCCTCCCCGCTGTTGTTGTTCCTCTCCTATGTCTTCCAACAACAACCCCCCCCCCCACCCCCTGTTGCTGTTCTTCCCCCCCCCCCCACTGCCGTATTTTCCCTTACGGGGTGGGCGGGGGTTGTTGTTCGAAACTAGGAACAACACCCCCCCCCCCCACCCATCCTTATGGAAGGGGTCTCGTCGTAGTAGCAGCAGCGGCTTGAAGTTGTGGTTGTGGCAGCAGTCGTTAGCGGTAGTGGTAGGAGTAAGAGGACTCGGACTAGGATTAGGAGTAGTAGGAAGAATTTCGCAGTGTTGCCGCGGTTTCCCATGTTGGCATTGTGCCCTGTTTCATGTGTCTGCTGCCCAGCATGTTAGATGCTGAGAAGCCAAGGTGCAGCATTGTGCTGACTCGGAGGCTGCGTCCTTCCTGGAGGCCTCCAGGTTCTGTGACGGTACTGGTGAAGTCCCTTTTCTTGTCGTTTTTTCGCATTCGCAGGATGACCGTGAAAGCGCACCTTGGGGTTCAGCTGAGGATGCTGACCATGTCAGGGTCATGCAGATGTTGCGCCTGGAATGTCATCTTGCGGTGCTTGTGACCTGTGCAGTTGACTGGAAGGAGATCGCTTTGCGCATCAACGGCTGGCGTTACAGCGGGCCGCTGGAGGTCAGAAGACCATCGAAAGTCATCAGCAAGGTTATTGACTTGTAAGTGACAACGAAGACTTCACTGCTGTCATCTGTCAGGCCCCCCGTATCCTTCGCACGATATGTTGGCAATTGGAGCCCAGCACTGTCTGCCAGCACCTTCTCAGGAAGGCTGGGCCGTCATGTTCTCCAGGGCTTTGAGTTCCAGCACGCTTTATTTCTGCATGTCTAGACTTGTTGCCGCAGAACGCCCGGACGCGTGTGTCTCTCTGTGTGTGTTTCTGTGTGTCTGTGTGTGCGCTTCAGGATTCGGATAGTGGGCACGGCCACTTGGCACAGCATCGCACAATCATTGATCGGGAACGGAGACTGCTTTTGATGAGAATCGAGGATGATTGGATTTGAATTCCCACTGAGGTTTGACAGCATTTCAACAGTGCTTTGTTTCTGTGGTTCGGCCAGAATGAGGGTGCACTTTTTGTATCTTGACTCCCTGCTTGACTTGGACTTCGCCTCCGTACCGTGCCTGCTAAGTATACCATCGCTAAATCGACCGGCTGAGCAGACTTTATGAACATTGACCCTGTAAATGGTGCTGTCCATGCGGATGCTTTCGCTCTTGTTTCCGCTGATCGCTTTGCGCAAAGTTCTTCGTTGGCCCATGATAGCATCTCCTGGCTTTTCCTGCCAAAGGCATTCTCCTATGGCAGTTGGCCGGCTGCTGCATACTGGCCGTCGCAGCCGGTTGCATCTTCAGAGGAATCGTGATGTGGTCCCTGAGGCACCACCAAACAGAGCTCGTGCGTGTTTTTGCTCGTATGCAGCCATTGATAAAAACTGTCTGACTGAAGGCGCCTGCTACGCCGCTTGGGCCACGCCTGCAAGGCAGCATGAGCCGTAAAAAGTCAGCACCCTCGTCGGGGGTTAGAGTTATTCAGAATGCAGGCGCGAACTCGCCGACTTCCGTGAAAGTCACAAGAATACCCAGGAAGGGGCGGAAAGTCGCATGCATCGGAGCCATGACGCCAGTCCAAGTATCGCTTGTTGGCTCTATATGCATGTCAGCCAGTATGATTCAGCTAAATAATGTGTTTGAAGCATGTCCACCAGGACTCTCTCTGCAGCAGTAGAGCTACGATTCCCATGAGATGCAAGCATCAAGCTGGAGTCCAATGTACATTGGTCCGTCTTCACTCCGATTCACTCTCGGAGCCCATGTCAGCGATGAGCAGCCTCTGCCCAAGGTTCTTGTCAAGATTCACGGACATGCAAAGGTTCGTAACATCATGAGCTTCGGCATTGGCCGCACCGAACCACTTCAGTTGTCACTGAAGTCACCGTCCCGTTTTCAGCCCGACCTCTCAGGATAGCATGCGAATGATGCCGATCACACTTTATATCCACACGCTTTCCCTGTGTTGGCAACAACAAACCGATAAGTTTCTTGCTTACGGATCCCTACATGCACTGATCAGCTTCCTGATATTGCAAACGGATGGTGTCCATGAAGCTTTGTACCTCCGACGATGCAAAGAAAGATGGAAACGGTCGTTTTGGATCGTCTGGATGCTCGAGGCCTATCCAAGCCCCTTCCAGCGCCATCTCACCCAAAAAACCGAGGCACACAAGAAACAACGTTGAACCTATAGCCACAGAATCACTCTCCTTTTTTGTGCAGTGGCCCATAGGCAAACCTGAGCCCGTGAAAGAAGCGGTCTAGGCCTAGGACCCAGCTGCTCCGCCGGCACCCGGACATGCCGAGCTTTTGATACTGTGCTGCATGGTGGGCTGACAAAACCCCCGAGAACCTTTCCACTGTGAATAAGATCCAGCAGGAATAGCCCATGTTGGCCCACTAGCAGATCACCAGCATCTGAACCAAAGAAAAATTCACCATTATCACCCAGTTTGGCCCGCGGGTCGACTCTTAAGGCAACTGTGTTTCATTCATGCAGAGCGCCCAAACGCTCCACCCAGTCACACAAGTCGCCACTACGTTGAGGCCCTGAACATAAGTGCACGAAGAACAAAGTATCCTCAGGCCAAGCCGGCAACCATGCTAGGTTTGTCTCGCTCACTGGCGGTCGCTGCTGCTCCACACCAGCCTTGCGAGAGGTCCATGCTTCGACAGGTTCCCACCAACGCGAGGGCACATCCGCGTGGTTCTCGGCTGAGGGCATCCACGGATAGAAAACTTCATGACCCCCATCTGTTCCTCACTACGCACGTGTACATCTCCAACTAATTCTGGCTTGGAGACTTTCCTGCAGCACGAGCTTTCTCTTACGGCACTGGCTGGTACCACGGTTCGGAGGTGCGCCCTGCCTGACCAGAGTGCTGAAGAAACTACTAGTATGTGGTAATCCAGTTCCACAACTGTTTAATGTAGCACCCTTGTTTTGGACAGCTGCAGTATCAGATCGGCCCGTCCCGGTTTTGCCTCCTTTTCCCAATCAACTTGCTTTCTTGCCTGCTTCCGCGTTGTCCAGTTGTCCGCTCATGTTCAAGTCGAGCCTGCTGGCACTGACGCTTGGATTCGTCTGTGCGTCTGTCGCCCGCAGCTCCTTCTCTCGCTGCTGTCGTTGATGCCCACACGGCGCACAATTTCAATGGACGGTTCGACCGGTTCAAGCGGGACTGCAACAAAACGAGCAAGTGAATTGATTTTTGACATTCATTGCATCCGAGGGAAGCTTGACATTGGCCGGACAGGGCACTGGATGTGTACAAAAGGACCGAAAGGCAGCTCGAGCCTTCACCACTGGACGCGGGTGCTCTTTCACGACTTTGACAAATATAGCAAAACCAAGCTCTTGAGCCTCTTATGAAGAGGCTAAGTTAAGTACGCAAGCAGGCGTTGGTTTCCATAAGCGGCGAGCCGAAACCAAGGTCGAAACGTTAAAGGTAGAAAAGTTTTCGACTTTTCGGGTTTTCTAACACTTTTCAGACTTTTTGGGCTTTTCGACTTTTCGGGTTTGCCTGCACTTGTCGGGCTTTTTGGGCTTTTCGACTTTTTGACTTTGACTTTTCGGGTTTTCTGGCACTTTTCGGACTTTTGGCGCCGTTACGCTTTTCGACTTGTCTGGCATTTGTTGGACTTTACGTGTTTTAGACCTTTTGGTTTCGGCTGTTCGTTTCCGGTTTTCCGCGCGATTTTTGACGTTTCGTTTGTTGTCTTGACTTCGTAATTTTTTGCCTGTACAAGTTTTCGATTGGGCACTCTTACAGCCAGTCATAGTTTCAATTGTCGTGGTTGTAGCTCGTTCAGACGCACCACTAAGCAAACCAGCCTATCCCCACCGCTGGGGCATTGATTGTCAAAGGGCAGGCCTGCTGTGTGACAGTCGCAGTGTCATCATAGCGGTTAGACCAAATGTGCCTACACTTAGCCTTCACCGGTTTCATCAGCCATCGACGAAGTCGTTAAGCCGGGTGCACCATTAAGCAAAACAGCCGCTTCAGCGTTTGGCGATTGAAAGGACGTTATGAGCTTTGGCTAGGGTTTTAAAGAGCTTGGGTTTTGAAAAGAACTCATGGGGTTTCTTCCTGTCAGTGAGTTTGTGTAGCTCTTCAAAGTGCTTCTACGATGGGGCGGAGCGCTTTCTGATGGTATTGCTCAAAGCTCCTCGCACTATCATGCCCCGCGAAGCATTATTCGCATCGCTAAGGCACCAAAATTAGTGCTTTCTGCGAGGATTCGTATATTCAGTTCATTAGATTTTTCTTTTGGTTCTACTCGGGTCGAACCCTGGTTGTCTTTGAAGTGTTTATATATGTCGCACAGACGTTGATGTGTTCTCTGGGCTTGGCGTTTAGGGTTAAAGCCTTAGGGGTATGGGGTTACGGCTGGAAGCTGCCAAAGGCATGAACCACAGCAGGCTCCTGCACGGATGAATACGATACAAAGTATGCCCCATGAAACTTAAACCCCCAAAAACTCCAACCCTAAACCCTGAAACCGCAAACCCTACAACCCTAAACTTACGACCTCTACTAAGATCCTTTTCCTCAAAGGGTTCCTTCGAGAGTTCCTTAAAAGCTTTTTCGGGGGGTTTACTGTTTCAGGGTCTAGGGCTGGGGGTTTGGGGATTAGGGTGGAACTCCACTGTTGGATTCGATAGGGTGGCATGTGCTGCGAGGATGAAAACATGCAGGCGTTGAAGTGTTCTCTTGGCTTGGAGTTTAAGGTTTAGCAGCCGTGTGCATGTGTATATACATATCTGTATAAACATATATATATATATATATACACATATATATATATATATGTATATATATACACACATACATATATACGTACGTTTACATATGTATGTATGTATATACATACACGTATATCTGTACATATGGATATTTGTTTATTCAGATACATGTATATACCTGTGCATCTACGGACGAATAACCACTGTTCACACACATAACATATGCAAATGTCTACCTGTTTGTGTATAACCTTCCACAGCGACTTCCCTGTGCCAGGGACACCTCGCACACGTAGTGAAGACGGACATCCTTTCCGGTGCTTTGATTTGACAAGGTTTCAATCAAAAATGGACCCCAAGGCCAGAACACTATACCTGCAGTATCCGAAATCGTTAACATTTTCCTAGATCTGCCTTTGCTCTCTGCAGATTTCAGACCAAAGCTGTGCCAAGATGCTTCAGATGTGTGCCAATTGTTGTTTTTCCGGCTTCTGCTGTGGTGACTTTTCGACCTTTTGACTGTTCGACTCCACTTATCCGCACCCACAGCCGTTCGCAAACACAACCCGAAGAGGAGGGTGACGATGACGACGCAACATAATCCTCCATCTCCTTCTCCCCGCTCCTCCGCCGCCTCATCATCATCTTCATCTTCCTCCTGATCTTCACCTTTATCTTCATAGCGATGGTGGTGCTGGTGGTGGTGGCTGCGGTTCTGGCAGTGATAGTTTAGTGGTGATGATTTTGCGTGATGTCGCTGTTGATGAGGTAAGGAAGACAAGACAAGCGAAGCGGACGACATGTGTAATTTGCGCAAGCAGTGCAGATGCAAGGTTGACCGTGGCGCCCTGGTATGGAGGACGCCTTGGATGCTTTGAGACATGCAACCTTCCACTCTACTGCACGCGCCCGCACACTAGTAGTTACGGCATGACGGAGCTCCGTAGCTTCGGCCATGTGAACGTATTGTAGTGCTCGGCCGACAGCACAGACAAGATTTGCTGACTGCGCGTGTCTCAGACCCTCTCGAGCAAGGCACCACAGGTTGCTGCTCACAAGCAGTGCTCGAACGAAGCCTGTAGAGCCAAGCAAAAGCATGCAACGATTGTCTGCACGGGGAGAGAACCGAGGGAGAGTCCTCGCAGAAGCCCTCAAGAAGCATCTGTGCATGCGAACGCATTGCATCGGATGTGGGCTTTGGAGGCGGAACTCCCGCCGCTTCCACCAGTGCAGGTCCAGAAGGCTACGGCTGTGTCAAGCTGTCACGCACGACTGTCGGAGAGATCCTGCACCTTGGGAGTGTCAGCATCATGCGAAGGTTTCGCGTCTGGCAGAGGTCCAGTTTCCTCCGCGGGTGCGGGCCCGGAAGCCCTGTTCCAGCGCGAAAAAATGCATCCGACTTCTGAGGTGTCGGGTGATGTTTTTCATTGGCAGGATGTGAAGCTACATCCACACAGAGGCACAGAAAAGAAACAAACACTAAACCAGCTATTGCAGTTTGGTGTCTCTCCGTCGATTTTGCCTTCCGCTGGTCCAGGAAGCCTCGGTGAGGAGGGGCGGCTGGCCGGAAACTCAGCATGCTCTCCAAGCATTTCCGAGCCCCCGAAGTGTGGTGGAGGGTTCTGGGCTGTCAGGGCTGGTGGTGTCATGAGGTTTAGTCTGGCTCTAGGGCGGACGCATGGAAGGCATACGGTCACCTGCCGTCACGCGGGAGTTTCCGAAAATGTACGCTAAATAGTAGGATCCTTCTTATAAGGACCGCAAAATCAAATCAGGTACCCCTAATTTGCGGAAACTCTGAGCAACAGCGCCTCCACACGCCTCAGCCTTCTTGAATGCACAGGAAGCGACAGCTGGTTTTTCGGGGGATTTAGGTTGCGCCTGCTGAACACTGCACCCGTACTTGTACCCGTAGACCCGGAGAGTCGCTTTTTTGTATTCAGCAGTCCTTGAGCTGACGCCGATACCCGTGGCGGTGGGTTCCAGAATGGGTGGGAGGCGCAGGCTGCCTTGCATCAAATGATCTTGAATGACTCAATGACTACTGACTACTACCATCGAGCAACACATGGGTAACTTAAGGTAACCTGCAGTGCAAGTGCATGCCTTCATCCGAAGCTTTGCCGAGTGCTCCGTGATGGTGACCGATCGATTACATCCGTGCATTAGCCAGGACATGTTCCCGTGGTGATTTTGCTTTAACACATGCATGCTTAAAGCTTAAAAGCCGAAGCTTAAAAGCAACTCCGTTCCGCACGCATCTGGAAACTCTAGCGTCACTTCTTGGGATTGAGCAGCAAACAAAGCTTTGTCCTCGGCATAGCCGGTCTTCATCATCCTAAATGGCATTCGGAGCAGCACTGGTGGTCTTATCGAAGTTGTCGCCGTGCATGTAGTAGCTGACAGGCCCATCGTCAAACACTGCTTCAGCCTCCTACGGGAAGTGCCGTCCTTGTCGGCGCCTTCGGCACTCCTAGGCATGCGCGTCTCAGCCCCGAGCTGCGGGCGTTTGGCGAGGAACACTGGAGGCTGACACTGAGCGTAATTCTGTGGGCACAGGGCGCTGTGCAGAAAGGGTTTTTCCAGAATTCCCTAAACTCGGCGCTGGACCCATCTCCAGATCTTTTCTTGGCAGGGTGCGACCCCCTCAGCCGCAGCGGCCAAAGCCTCTCCTCTGCACTAGTGTGTGGTGCCTGAGGATCAGTGCACGTCAAACAGAGATGCTATGCACCTCTTCTTGCGAGTAGTAAGGTTCTGCCGCTGCTGCCGGGCAGTGTTGCCTTGGATGCCTGCGGTACGACGCTTGTCTCATGTCTTGTCTCAGATATTTGACGGAGGTATTGGACATGTTTTTGGTGCTGATTCAGCATCTTGTGGATTGTTGCTTCAGGCTTGCGGACACGGCCATTACTTGCTCTTGCCTGCACTTCTTGCCCTCGGCGATGCTGGAGGCACTGGGTTCAGTGCATGTGATGGGCTCGAGCGGCTGATCGTGTCATGACATCAGGACGATGTACGGCGGCGTCGGAGCGTAGCAGCACAAGAGCCTGGTTCTCGGTAAAGAGGGCAGCGTTGGTCTGCAAGCAGGTACTAGGCTACTAGGCACTTTGCTATCTTGCTTCATCAGCCTTTCTGCCTTGTATCTCAAGCAGCTTCTTACTGCATTCCCAGATTTCTGGTGCGCGTTGGAGCGCAAGGCTCGGCGCTGCTTCTGGCGATGATGCAGCTTGTGGCGCCCAGACTTAAACTTTGTTAGAGCCACATGCATGCGGTCTCGTCCATGCTCGGTATCGCTCCAGAAATCTGAGGCCGAGATTTGAAGGTCCTTGTCTTGGCGGGGCAGCCGGGTCAGGCGCAGGCCTCGGTCGTTAAATCGTTACGGGAGGCCTGAAGTTGAACGCATCAAAACTATGATCCGAGAGCCGTCCCACACTCATACCGCCCAGTGGCTGGGAAGCCTATCGGACATCGGGGCTTCCAGTCTCGGTTTCTTTAGTGTTGCGTGTTTACGACTGACGTCATTTTCAAGCGTTCAGGGCAGCCTGTTAGGTCAGGGTCGATGATTGAGAAGGCGTCCTGAGCTTTAAAATGCAGGGGGCCGAGGCATGAGCCTAACTCCTGCTTCATATTCATGCCTTTTTCAACAGACCAATGCAGTGATAGCCGATAGATCCTTTGCTTCGCACTGCTTGCTTGGCGCGTGGATCTCCGTGATTTTGTTCTTGAGGTCCTGTCGCATCACGCTGAACTCTTCCTCCTTGCACGGGGCGAAGGCGCAGAGGGAGGGATGGCGAAGTTGGAGGGCCGGAGGGCTTCACGCTCCGGCAGGCCGCTTCGAAACACTCCTTCGCCTGGTGGCTCTGGCACACGTGCGAGTCCCAGCCTGCAGAGTGCAACGAAAGTGACGGCAGTACTTTCTGATCCTGACTTCTGACTTCCCTGTTCTACAATCTATGCCTAGCAGGAGTCTAGGACTCGCAGACAAACTGACACATCAAGCCGAGCAGCGTCCTGGCTAAACGAAACCGCTTTCAGCCTCTCGAGGCTCCCACGAGTCGCGCCGGTGCCGCTTTGCGCTTCCCGGTGACGCGAGAGTCGCCCCTCGGAGCCTTGCAAGAGGCCTGCTCAACGCGAGACGAGAGAAAGCAGGCCAAATGCATTCATGACGACACAGGCTGCCAGTTCTGGTAGCCTTTCAAAGACAATCTACTGAGTTTTTGCACTTAGTCCTGGTTTGAATGAGCTGAGCTCACGCTTCATCGGCAGACTCTCCTATCACCACTGGGCCAGGTATGGAAGGAAGTGGCGATGGTTGAGCTCCCCCGGCTTTTTCAGCTCTCCGTCCGAAATGGTGGGGCAGGACAGTCGAGTCAGGAACATTTTGAGTGCTTACCTCCAGGCAGCTCATGACAAGATGCCGTCTATAACGGTCATGGGAGCGTACCGAGCTGCAAGGACTGGCTCTGCCCGGGAAGGAAAAGTTTTTGGTGGAGGAGAGCTGTCGAGAACTTGGTATTGGGGCCATGATGCCCAATCTCTCGAGTCGCCGTCTCGTTGCACCTGGTTGAGTCGTTGCATGTTGAAGCTGCCAGAGGAACCACAACAAAGTCGTCACAGGAAGTCTCTCTGTGTTCGAGTTTGCACTGCATCCTGTGACCATTGCGGCTTCGGGGTAGCTTGTTGATGTGGCACTGGCATCCTGCGGCTGGTTTGCAAGAGTCTCCCCTCACTCCGAGCCAAGTTGCTGGCAGTCGCGAGCTCAGGAACCGTTTTTTCGTTTCGGCATGGCGATTAGCGCCCTGCTGGCAGCAGTGGTGCTCGGGGCAGCGGCAGCTTGGATCTCAAGGGGAAGAAGGGCCCAGGGCCTGCAGCTGGCCTGCAGCTCCGCCTCCCCCACAGTATTGCCCTGGCCCTCCTAAAAAAAAATGTTGCACTGCACTTGCTTCATCTTGCTTTGAACTTTCACGCTCTCCTAAAACCTGCGACGTCTAGGCGAGCTGCCCGACAACGGGCGGCTGCAAAGCAGCCGGCTCGCAGAATTCGGGTCCCTTGCTTCTCCAGGCCAGGTGGCTGGCGCTGGTTTTTTGGGGGGTTGCTGTGCGATTTCAAGTGCTGAAGGATTGGTGACCAAACAGGCTTTGGTGACACTGGCTGTCGCAGGTACTCGTAGGAGCTGTAGGTTGGACCCGAGGCAGCATGCTGTGGCAGCAGCTCTGCGGCTGCCCGTGTGCCTGTCATGACTGCAGCACACAGGTTGGTGGCAAGGAGCTTCGGCGTGTGGAGGCGCATGTGGCCTCATGGGTGGCGGGAGCCTATGAGGACACTTCCCTTGAACAGCGCTAGGTTCCCGGAACTTCACCTCTGACTAAGTGCTGTTGTAGTTTGCAGGACTGTCGCACCGTGGAGCGCGGGAGTCGACCTCGAAAGGAGCACGTGGGTTTCCAGCACCGCAGCCTGCCAGCACCCACTTAGAGCTTTCAGAACTTGATGCAGATGCAGCGCGGAAGTTACGAAATCATGGCCAAAGCACCAGCTGCTGTCAAGGTTCCTTGCTTTGCCTGGCTGCGGCCCCTTGACTCCTTGACATGGCTTATCAGGTCGCGTGACGTGCCGGTCTGCTGTGGATGGAAGCGATTTGCCGGATGCTGCTTGTGCAGGCCCCTTCGAAGGTCTCTTGGGACCAGATCCGTCTGACTCGAGCGCTCTGCAGCGCTGCTCGCAGGTCTCCCTCCTCCACGCCGTTGGCGGCGCTGTGATTGCGGGGTCGTGGTTTGCAAGCCCGGGGAAGAGGAAGGTTGGGGCCCTGAATGCCCTGAATGGAAGCATTCGCCCTTGGACTGGAAGTCGACGCCCGCGGCCCGCAGCGAAAGGTCACTTCGCACGCGAACGGTGGTCAGAGCTCGGTGCAGCCGCCTCTGGCAGCCGCCAGCTCAGAATCTTCGAACGGATGGTTCTCAGGGCCGGGGTTCAGGAAGATCCGATCCGAGCGCATGAGAAATCGAAGCTTCCATTCGAACCAATGCACGGCAATGCACGGCAGAGGCAGCTTTCAGGATCTGCCAGTTGTCATCGCTGCTACTGGATTCCGTTCCTATAGGTTCCTAGCTGCTTTTGACACGGTGCCAAAATCTGAGCCTGTCTCTGCCGTCCTGTCGGAAGCCGGTCGCCACGAGCTTTACATCCCCGGCCATGCATCAAGCATTCTGTGGTGACTGGGGCAGGCGCAGTGTGAAGAGAAGCCGATGACTACAAACCCTACTCGACTCGGTTGCATGCGTCATCTGGAAGGACCTCCCTCTTACTCGTACCGCAGCATGGAAGACCCACCGTTGTGAGTTTGAAACCTCCACAGCGCAAGACTCAGGCCGGGACGTCCATTTCAGCTTCCTGGGCTGCCTCTCACCCAGCCAGGATGCCCCCGCACGATCACAGGCAGGGAAGAGGGCCAGGGCACGAACCATCAGAGTCCGGCATCGCCGCTTTGCTCTCTGCTCGCGGCAGGTCATGTCCTCACGTGACGAGAGTTGCATCACGTGGAAGGACCAGGACCAAGCCGCAGAGTGATTTTTCCGGTCACCTCCTCAGCGCACTGCGGTCAGGAGGGCACTTGCCGACTTGGACTCCCCTTCTACCGTTGGGATTGCACGGAAACAGACGCATCTCGGCTCGACTTCTGCACAGGACGGGGCCCATGTTTCAGGAGAAAGCGGCCTAATCGGTTTCAGGTTATGAGCCCGCAGCTGTGCTTCCGGTTCTGCCTCGGCAAAGGCGCGCTGCGTGTTGAGTGCAGTAGGGCCGGGGAGTGCTCCAGCGGAGTGCTTTTGCGCTGAAGCTGCGAGAGGCCTTGACCTTTTCGGTCTTCTGGGCTCCGAGTGCCGTTGCGGTGCCTCTGCCCTGAACCGTCAGGCTCTACCCAGAGGAGTGAGAGAGCGAGGGAGTGAGGGAACGGATTCGGAGTTCCCCAGCGGGAGTTCTGAAAGCCGTCTCGTGGCGAATGCTGTGCTGCAGGCTTGGCGCTGGGGGAAGCCTCGTGCAGGCCAGGCGAAGCCGCACAGCGACGTGAGATGCAGTTTTTTGAAGGGGAAGCCGGATTCATGTTCGGATCTTCGACAAGACTCGGCAAATGGAGAAGCCGCTAGGTCTAACCATTCCGTGGGAGCAGCTGGGCGCTGCTGATGACTCTGAATGCGCGCGCATTTACCGGTACACTGGCCACTTTGAGGACTCGATGCCGATGCTGAAAGGTGCTCCTGAAGTTTCTTTTGCGATTGCCTGTCTCAGGCTGGTGGGTCCGTACCAGATGCCCAGCAGTTCTTGACTGAGGCAAGGTCTATAGTGAGGGCAGCAAGGAACGTTCCTGAGCGTTTTCAGAGTCCCCTAGCTGCATGGCACGTTGCTGATAAAGGCCGGCGAGCCACTCAACATAGACACACGCGCCTTATGCAAAAGCACGAGAAGATGGAGCAGTTCTCCTCCAAATCAACCTTCCAAGTCTTGCAATGTCACCAATGACCACCTTCCACATGTAACCATCCCAGCAAGCGCGACATATCCGACCAAGACCAGCCACCAGTCGAATGCGGCAGGAGTGCAGAAAAACCGACACCCAGGGTAACACCAAGGCAAAATGATTGCGCACGGCTTTCTGTCCTTTCCGATTTCGGTGGGGTAAAGGGAACACCGGGAAAGCGCATGCATGCCGGACCTCCATGTTCTTTACGGCCCGGGCCCCTTCCCACGGACTCGCATCGACCCATCTTTGCAAGAGCACCAAGAAACCAACTTTGCACAGTTTCGTTTCTAAGGACGATCTGGCTTACCTGGACTCGCTTGCCATTGGTGAGGTCATGACAGCAGAAGACGCCTGGCATGGGTGGGTGTTGTGTTGAGTTGAGCTTCAATTTTCGCTGGAGATAAGGAGGAGGAAGATGTTCCCAGATCTATATGGGAGGCAGGTGTGCGTGCAGGTGATTCTGCACCATGGTGTCTCCCTACGAGGCCGAGGTGGAGCCAAGCGGCAAAGATCTGGTGGCCCTGCAGACGACCTCGTCACGAAATGAATGTTGCTTGGCGACGCCCGAAGAAGCCAAGCTTCGATTTCTTGCGGCACGCAGCTTGCCGTGACAATCCTGAGATCCCAGAGCTGCAAGGTCCTGTGACTGGCACCTGCCCTTGCACCAATCCTGACTACCCGTGCTATGCATACTACTCAGCAGGCATCTTGGGTTGCGTTGACTGTGGAACGACAAGCCGTTTTGCAAGTAGATGCACGTTTCGATGCACAAGTGCGATTCATTGTCTCAGATGCGTTGTGTTCAGGCGATAGATGTGCCTGTTTCAGAATCAACGGCTTCACGACTCCCGAGAACTGTGCCTCCTTCGGCGGAACCTTCTGTGGCGACTTCACCACCACGACAACTACTACAACCACCACCACCAGCTACACCGGCCCGCCGACGACATCGACCACAGCTGCAGGCACAGCAGCTTGGTATGCTGAGTTTTGCACTTGAACTGACATAGTTACGCTCAGATCCACCAGCGGGACAGGGCTGGTCAAGGGCGTCAGCTGAAGCTCGGCCCACACTGGCAGCCAGTAAAGTTGGCTTGAGCGAGGGACTGAGTACATGCAATCGCATGCATACGCTCTGCATAGCACACAAGGCGAGTAACCCCGGCAGACGTTGGCCTGAGAGAAGGCTCCGTTGCATTTGGATTCGACCCTGTTGCGTGTCGTTGCCCTCGCGGAATTCAGGTCGGACCCTCCGGGCAACACGGAGGATGTGTGGGACGACTATGCAGCTCGCCACTGAAAGCCACTACGCGTAGAAAGCCTCTTCTATTCCTTTGCGCAGGTCGTGATTCGCTACGCGTTCAACGCCAGCATCGACGACAACCGAAAAGACGCATTTCGCAATGCCGTGACCATGTGGAGGGTGTTGCAGCAGCACCATAAGCATTTGCTTGACGGAGTGCATGGCATGTGCTCCATCTGGGATTGTTCAGTGCCGGGGGCGGACTCCCAAATTTCGCAAAGCACAAGCTCACAAGCTTGCATGACCATGCAGGAGGGCCTTGGGCACCGTCCCTTTGACTGAGGAGACGACCTGCGTGAATTTCATTGAGGAGGAGACTCCAGCGAGGCCGAGAGTGCAGAAATTATCCTTTTTTCGAGCTCCGCTCCCTTGGGAGCCCAAGTCCAAGGCCCTATGTCTTGATCGGAATCTGGGACACCGGAAGCTGCTACGCCAACCTTGGGCAGCTAAGCTCAAGGCAGGCGTAAGCTGTCATCAGAGTACTCCTATATCGCAACCGTCTGAGGTTCAGCACCTTCTACAACAGCAACTCGTACGCGAGGATAAACCTGGGTTGGTGCAACGATGCAAGACACGCAAGGACCTCAGTATGATGTCAATAGCTCAAGATTGGGAGAGTTCGGAGGTTCAGCCGAAGAGATCCCGAATTCGGGTGAGCACCCGCTGATTCTCGAAAC